GAGTTCAAGTGATTGTCCCGCCTCAGCTTCCCGAGTAGCTGGGACTACAGGCGCGCGCCACCATGCCCAGCTAATTTTTGTATTTTTAGTAGAGACGGGATTTCACCTTGTTGACCATGATGGTCTCGATCTCTTGACCTCGTGATCCACCCGCCTTGGCCTCCCAAAGTGCGGGGATTATAGGCATGAGCCACCGCGCCCGGCCTACTTAGTACCATTTTTAACCATAATTCCCATCTTGTTTTCCATGAAATTGAGAAAATTTTGAAAAAGGAAACCTTTTAAAGAAAATATTAGGGGCCGGTCGTGGTGGCTCACGCCTGTAATCCCAGCACTTTAGGAGGCCGAGGTGGGCGGATCATGAGGTCCAGAGATAGAGACCATCCTGACCAACATGGCGAAATCCCATCTCTACTAACAAAAATTAGCTGGGCATGGTGGCACGCGCCAGTAGTCCCAGTTACTCGGGAGGCTGAGGCAGGAGAATCGCTTCAACCTGGGAGGTGGAGGTTGCAGTGAGCCGAGATTGTGCCACTGCACTCCAGCCTGGCACCTGGTGATGAAGAGAGACTCTGTCTCAAAAAAAAAAGAAAGAAAATATTAGGAAGGCTGGCGTGGTGGCTCACGCCTGTAATCTCAGCACTTTGGAAGGCCAAGATGGGTGACTCACGAGGTCAGGAGTTAAAGAGCAGCCTGGTCAAGATGGTAAAACCCTATCTCTGCTGAAAATACAAAAATTAGGCGTGATGGCAAGCACCTGTAATCCCAGCTACCTGGGAGGCTGAGGCAGAGAATTGCTTGAACCTGGGAGATGGAGATTGCAGTGAACCGAGATTGCGCCACTGCACTCCAGCCTGGGCAACAGAGAGAGACTCCTGTCTCAAAAAAAAAAAAAAAAAAAAAAGAAAGAAAGAAAAAATATTAGAAAAACAAGAATAAAACCCAGACTTTTCTAATTGAAGCTGTCATGAATTGATGAATTGTGAGTACAGATCTCTTGATTTTATTCTTGAAAATTCTTGTCTTTTGTGTAGTTGGGGGAGATGTTTGTTTTTTTGTTTTTGAGACAGAGTCTCACTCTGTTGTCAGGCGCCAGGCTGGAGTGCAATGGCACAATCTTGCCTCACTGCAACCTCCGCCTCCCGGGTTCAAGCAATTCTCCTGCCTCAGCCTCCCCAGTAGCTGGGACTACAGGCGCACACCAACACGCCCAGCTAATTTTTGTATTTTTAGTAGAGATGGGGTTTCACCATGTTGGCCAGGATGGTCTCAATCTCTTGACTTCGTGATTTGCCCGCCTCGGCCTCCCAAAGTGCTGGGATTACAGGCTTGAGCCACCGCGCCCGGCCAATGTTTATTTTTTGAGATGGAGTCTTGTTCTGTCCCCGAGGCTGAGTGCAGTGGCTCACTACAACCTCTGCCTCCTGAGTTCAAGAGACTCTTATGCCACAGCCTCCAGAATAGCTGGGATTACTTATATGCACCAGCATGCCCATCTAATTTTTGTATTTTTGGTAGAGATAGGGTTTCATCATGTTTGCCAGGCTGATCTCTAACCCCTGGCTTCAAGTGATCGCCCACCTCGGCTTCCCAAAGTGCTGGGATTACAGGCCTGAGTTTTCTTTTTAAAGAAAAGAGGAAGTTTGTGAGCTGTAAGCAATGCAGATTCTTTGTAGAACTGATGATACATGACTTAGAGATACAGTCTCAACTACAACTGAAACAAAGAATGTGAGAAAAGCAAATTCTTTAGATTTCTTGTATTCAGTCAGCCCTCACACACTTACCTCAAGCAAACCAAGATTGCAAAAGAGCAAGCAGGCCAGAGTTCTCATACAGAAACACTAGAATTAGAGCTTCAGAGGAATAGTTTCTTTTTCACAATAACTGTGCTACCTCTGTGCACAGTTATTACAAACACATCTTGCAATCTGACCACCACATTCATCTTTGACACAGCTTTCTGAAACCACAGTAGCAATTATACCTGTATTTTCATTAGCCATGTGTATTTTTTTCTGCTCTTACTTTTCAACAAGTAAATTGATGTTTTATATGTTCCATAGTTGTGGCATCTTAAGCTTTTCCTAAAAAAGACACTGTATTTGTATTTTGAAGGTTTTTATTTGTTTGTTTTAAGAGACAGGGACTTGCTTTATCACCCAGGCTGGAATGCAGTGGCAGACTCACAGCTTGCACGAGCAGTCCTCCCACCTCAGCCTCCAGAGTGGTTGGGACTATAGGCATGCACCAACATGCCTGGCTGATTTTTATATTTTTGTAGAGATGGGGTTTTGCCATGTTGGCCAGGCTAGTCTCGAACTCCTGAGCCCAAGCTATCCAGCAGCTCAGCCTACCAAAGTGCTGGGATTACAGTAGTGAGCCATCGCACCTGGCCAATATTTTTTGTTTGCATTAAATATGCTCATGCCTTTCATTTAGCATTACTCATCAGGGGATTTATTCTAAGGAAGTAATAGAAAATGCAGGTAGTATTATTTATGTTAACAATAATAGAAAGGAAATGGTTTAAATATCCAAAATAAGAGATTAACTAAATTATAGTACATTCATATGATGAATTCTTATGCAGCCATAAAAAAAGGGTTTACAAGATTTTTAATGACACAGGAAAATGTTCTTGGTATAATTAAGTGAATAATATATATGAAACTTGTATCTTACATGTAGGATAATCTTATAGAGATTTAAAATGCATCAAAATTGGTTATTTAGAAGGTAGCATTATCAGTAATTTTTCTAAGTTTCCTTACTTTACTTTCACAATTGATTTTGAGAACTTGATTATTAACAGCTGTATTAGTCCATTTTCATGCTGCTGACAAAGACTCCTGAGACAGGGTAATTTACAAGAGAAAAAGAGGTTTAATGGACTCACAGTTCCACATGGCTGGAGAAGTCTCACAATCATGGCAGAAGGTGAAAGGCACATCTTACATGGTGGCAGGCAAAAGAGAATGAGAACCAAGCCAAAGGAGTTTCCCCTTATAAAACCATCAGATCTTACTCACTACCACAAGTTATATGTCAGCAAGCAAGAGAGAATGAGAAGAATGAGAACCAAGTGAAAGGGATTTCCCTTTATAAAACCATCTGCTCTTACTACCATGAGAACAGTATGGGAGAAACTGCCCCTGTGATTCAATTATCTTTCACCAGGTCCCTCCCACAACAGATGGGAATTATGGGAGCTACAATTCAAGGTGAGATTTGGGTGGGGTCACAGCCAAACCATATCAACAGTTGAAACAAAGTTTATTAGTCTTACATAGAAATTATTTCTGATTTTCAACAAGTGAACTCTCTCTTTGGTGATTATAAATGCTAGGGTGTTTCAAAGTATTTTTCAAATTCAAAGACTAAGGCTCCACAGATTAAATGGTGGAAAAAATTAAGAGTTTTAATGTATGTCAAATCCTCTATAATTAATTCTTAGCACCCATAAGAGTGCCTGGAAAGCAGTAGTAAATCACTAACTCATTATTTATTAAAACTGACCTGAGACACATTATTTAACAAAAAAACTGAAAACAATAACTTCATTTTTTTTCTTTATAGTAGGAAGATACTCTGCCTACCTCTTACATTTCTGTACTAAATGACACTGCAGAGACCAAAAGTTGAAACAAATTCATATCTGAAAATATTTGTACTAGAGATACAAAGGTGAATAAGATATGGCCTAAAACTATGTGCCTGGGTATTAGACCCTGCCCAGGAGACTGAGCAATAATACATTTTTGCAGAATTACTGGGGAAAGAAAACCCCAAACTTGTGGATTTTTCCTAAAATCCTCTCAATCTCCACCCAGGCACAACCTTCACAAGGGTTGTAAATTATCTTGAGGAGATAATATTGGCCTGAAGAAAAGATGGAGTAACAGCCTCTAATCTGAAGACCTTAAAGGCAAACTGAAATTCAACTAATGATTATCTTTAAGATCTCTGTAAATACTGCCTTTTTATAATTCTTATAAAGTGCTCTGTCCTAAAATATTTCTTCACCTATAACTACAGGAAAAAACTTGCCATTTGTTTCTTTGAATCTTAAAAAACTCAGTCTTGAAGTTACAGTTAAGTTGTAGATACACAGTAGGCTGGGGTAAGACACTTCCACACATGGTATAGAAGGTTAAGAGACCTGAACCTGGAAGGCTTTTTCCAGAAGAGAAGTTAATCTGTGACAGTAGCAGACAAATTGTACCTACTTCAGCTTTTAGTGCTAACATTATATACCATTGTGGAATAGATTGAAATAATCTGGAAGAAGTGACGCTGTCCTTTACATGGAGAATCAGACTCAATATGCAGTAATTGTTAATACTTAATTCTTAAACTGAAAAAAATAAAAAGAATTATACTGGCAAAGAAGTTATTGCTCTGAATAGTAAATTTTGTTTGTTATTTGAAAAATGAATTAACCCTCTCTGAAAGAGACAGACACTTTATCAGTGGAGATTTATAAGTAATTATTTCTGTGTGTAGTTAGAAGGAAACCTGGACCAGATGCAGTGGCTCATACCTGTAATCCCAGCACTTGGGAGACCAAGCCAGGACGATCACTTGAGCCCAGGAGTTCAAGACCAACCTGGGCAACATAGGGAGACCCCATCTCTACAAAAAATTTTAAAAATTAGCAGGCATTGTGGTGGGCACCTATAGTCCTAGCTACTAGGGTAGCTAAGATGAGAGAATCCCTGGAGCCCAGGAGTCTAAGGTTATAGTGAGTTATAATCTTGCCACTACTTTCCAGGCTGATCATTCTTCAATATTAAAAGAAATCAGGATCTGGCAATAAGAAATTTGGCTAACTGTCTTTGTGCACGTCTTAAGCTACTTGAGAACATCATACTTAGCTATATCAGGTACTTTATTATTGTGGTATTAGAGAATGGAAGGAGTTGATAATTTTCAAACTAATAATTTTTTAAATGGCCAAACTGAAAAATGCAGTATACATAAAAGTAATATACAGACAATTTAACTTTGGAACATAGAGGAGGAAATTTTATTAGGTAAAAACAATGAATTAAAAAATGTAACAAAAGTACTTTATGTAACCCAATAATTCCATTTTATACTATATACTAAAGTACAGAAAATAATCACATTGTAAAATGTATTTATACCATTTATAATTATTATAATTCATTACATTTATAGTTAGTACAGTCAAAATTGAAGCCATTTTATTTAGTAAATCTAATTCCACCAGTCAAAAATTAATTGTTGATTTATGACCATTTTGATCTGGCACCTTTAATTATTGGTAATATTCTTTTATTTTTTTTTCTACTTATGTTTTGAAGTCTGCAGTTCTGTATACCTCCTCATGTTCCCAAAAGAGATTAACTCTAGTGTTTTTTAGACTCTAACAACTTCCCTAGGCCTATTTGTTTTATTTCTCTTAAAGTAGTTGAATTCACCTGTATTTGAACTCTTTAGTGGATTTTTCTCTTCTTTCTACCCTCTATCTCATTGTAATTAACTCTTTCTCAGATTTTTACTTAGTCTAATTATTAGAATGAATATTCAAGTTATTCTGCTTTATAGCGAGGGTTTTTTAAAATACTATTAAGAATACTCTAAATCTCTGTGCTTCTTGTTAAAACATTTGAAGAAATAATCATAAAAATAAAGAAAGCATTTTTCAAAATATATAACATCTTGATATTGCAGAAGAAACAAAATAATAATAAGGAATTGGGTACATAAACAGAATTAAAACTACAAAAATATTCAGAATAAGGAAATAAAATTCATATGGTTAAGAAATGTGTATATGTGTAGATAGATAGATAGATAGATAGATAGATAACAGAGCATTTGTAGCCAGGGTAAAATCTCACCAAATAGTTCACTTCTCCATTAAATATTTTTTAAACATGTTAACCATCATTTCATTAAATACTTAAATTTTATCTTGAAATTTAAAAGCTGAGAAGCATGGTTTATACATAAATATTGAGAATAAGTATTTTAACAGAAATTAATTCTGCCTTATTATATTCCCAAGTTCAAAAGAAAATAAGGTGTCTAATTTGTGAAAATCTACCACTATTGAAGAAATATCACTTCTGTTCTTCCTTTAAGTTAACTTATTTAAAAGGGAGTTTCATTAATATAAATGATCAAGATTGTGATTGGCATATACAGTGGAAAAGGAAAAAGATGACTGTTTTACTACAGTAATAACCAAATTATCTTATTAAAATATTCATCTTAACATTTTTTTCTGTATACCCATTACTTCTTATATGCTACAGATTTTTGGTGTAACTTTTTAAGTTGCCTAAGTACATTTCATAATACTTAAGCTATAATTCTAGTTATTTTAAGTTTAGAATTATTTATATCCATATAGATTTTTAATTGTCTCTTTATAATCTTTTTTTTTTTTTTTTTTTTTTTAGATGGAGTCTCACTCCGGTCATGCAACCTGGAGTGCAGTGATATGATCTCAGTTCATTGCAACTTCCACCTCTCAGGTTCAAGCAATTCTCCTTTCTCAGCCTCCCGAGTAGCTGGGATTACAGGCATGCGCCACCATGCCTAGCTAATTTTTGTATTTTTAGTAGAGACAGGGTTTCGCCATGTTTTTGAAGCTGGTCTTTAACTCCTGACCTCAGGTGATCCACCTGCCTCAGCCTCCCAAAGTGCTAGGATTACAGGCGTGCGCCACCGCACCCAGCCATGTCTCTATATTTACAGTGGCCTAACAAGCTCTTTTATTTTGGAATGACCCTTGAAGATAATTAGCATACAAAGTTTCATTTTAGTATAGCTGTAACCACTGATGTTGTATGAATTTTCTTGTTACTTTTCTTTAGCAGATTTTACACAAATATTAGAGTCACCATGAATCAATTTTGTTACAACAAAGTGATTCCAAAGTGATCTTTAATGAGTTTTCTTGGATCTTTGCAACTGGAACTTTTTGGGTTGATGAAGTTTGTCAGGCAGACAGAAAAGATGGTGCCACTTCAGATCTGATATTCCTGGGTCTGCACTTAAAGATTATCTGTTGAAGATTGATTCTTCCCCATGTCCTCTCCAAATTCAGAGCTCTCACTTCTCCACAGGTTTAGAAGTCCCTATTTCACCACTGCCACACAGAAAAAGACAAAACTCAAGAAAAATAATGTTACAAGTTGACTGCTCTACAAGACACAACATAATTATTAGATCAGAATTTGTTGGCTTTGGCACTAGGCCAACACACTGTTAACAGAACAGAAAATGGAGACACAAAATAGCCCCTATAATTTAAATTTAATTACTTTCAGAAAGTAACTCATACCATTCAAATATAAAATGTTCTTATTAATATATCAGTAGAACACATAAATATGTAACTTAAAAAAAGATAGGGGTCAGACAAATAGAAGAAAGTAGGGAGGAAGGAAGCAGTTCAGAAGTGTTTTCCTTCAAATAAAATGATTTTACAATGTACTCTAACATGTTAATGGAAAATCTCTGATTGAAACATAAATCTAACAAATTGTTTTAAAGTTCATGTTCTTTTTACTGTCTTCATCCACTCTGCAAATGAAAATGAACATACACACACATACACATACATGCACAAAAGAAGAGGGGTTTTCCTGCAAATTCCTAGGCTTATCAGCCTCCTAAACTGCCCTAGCGATTCTGAGTAAAATTATATTTTTGGCAACACTGCTTTGCCCTCATAATAATGATCCTTTATTTTTTTTTTAATTTTTAAAAATAAAATAAATTGTCTGAAGATGTTTTCCTCACATCACGGAACATAAGCATTTGAAAGAAAAGATGGTTCATAATCTGGATGCTTAGAATTAATGTTTCTAATGTCTAAAAATGAGCTCTCCTGATTCCGTTTGATATGAATAATTGGCTTAAGGAAAATAAAAACATGTTAATTTTTTAAGTAAGTGGAGGCTTTATAAGCTGTATAATTAACTGTTCCCTCCTCAAGTAGGAAAAAACAAACTGCAAATTTTCTCACATAAAATTATTAATATCCCTGAGTCTGATATGAAATAATCTTTTAAATTTTGCTCATCCTTTGGCCCTAGATGTTCCTGTGATTTCACTTAATACAATGATGACTGGCACACTGATAGATTCAGTTCAGAGCCACGTATTTAATTGTAATTTTCATACTATCTTTTTTGGTCAGCAACGAGCTGGATAATGAGAAGGTATAATGGCTCTCCACCTCTTAGTGATCTGTGGCAGATTTTGATAGAAAGGATGAACAATTTTGACACTACTAATTGACTTCAGTGATTTGATTCTCCTCAATAAGGAAACAACTTAAGTAGGATTTAAACATCTTAATGCTAAATTCAACCAATTGTGTACATATAAATGTAAGTGGGATTAAGTTATTTCAAAATTAGCATCAATTTTTTTTTTTTTTTTTTTTTGAGATGGAGTCTGTCTCTGTCTCCCAGGCTGGAGTGCAGTGGCACGATATCGGCTGCAACCTCTGTTTCCTGGGTTCAAGCGATTCTCCTGCTTCAGTCTCTGGAGTAACTGGGACTACAGGTATTTGCCACCACTCCCAGCTAATTTTTTTGTATTTTTAGTAGAGGGGTTTCATCATGTTGGCCAGGCTGGTCTCTAATTCCTGACCTCAGGTGATCTACCTGCCTCGGCCTCTCAAAGTGCTGGGATTACAGGCATGAGCCACCTGAGCAATCACTCCTAGCCAGAATTAGTGTTTAAATATCTCCATATATGTATATGTGTGTGTGTGTGTTTGTGTGTGTGTATATATTTAGATGGAATCTTCCTCTGTCCCTTTTCTTCCTTTATTTCCCCTATTCTTGTCCTTTATGATTTAATCTCTCCCACCAATCTCCATTTCCTTTTACTGGTTATGAGACTGTTGAGTTGAAGGACTCAAAACATTTTGAGTCTGGAGTGCAGTGGCATGATCTCGGCTCACTGCAACCTCTGCCTCCCAGGTTCAAGCGATTCTCCTGCCTCAGCCTCCCAAGAAGCTGAGACTACAAGTGCGTGCCACCACACCCAGCTAATTTTTGTATTTTTAGTAGAGACAGTTTTACCATGTTTGTTAGGCTGTTCTTGAACTCCTGACCTCAGGTGATCCACCTGCCTTGGCCTCCCAAAGTGCTGGGATTACAGGCATGAGCCACCACATCTGGCTATATTTAACGCTTATATGATTATATAGACATTGCCCATGGAATCTTCACCATCTCATTCTTCTGTTCTCACTTGAAAAGTGACATTTGGTAGATGGTAGCCAGATTATTAAAGCAGTAGGTTTAACATAGTAGTATAGAAATCAGGTAAGAGATGCACAAAGTTAAAATAATATTAGATTGAGGGAGATTGTTTAACTTAAACCATTAAATAACTTTTTTTTACATTTGCTGCTAGGTTAGGGTGGTTATGCAACTATCTGTCATTTCCTGAAATTAACTTTCATTTGTTTTATGAATAAGACTGTCTATATAAGTTTACCCTAGAAATCCATAGGATTTTGGGAAATTGAATTATAAGTGGCTAGACTAACCAACTTTTATTTTTAGGTGAACTTATATCGCTCTATAAATCTTAAGCAAATCAATCACATATGGTAACTGGGGGAGGGGGTTCTTCTGTTTATTAGCCCAAGATATAATGAATTTATTTGTTTTTATTTTTTGAAATACGGTCTTGCTCTGTTGCCCAGGCTGGAGTGCTGTGATACAACCACAGCTCACTGCAGCCTCGACCTCCCAGGCTCAAGCAATCCTCTCACCACAGTCTCCCAAGTAACTGGGACTATAGGCATGAACCATCAAGACCAGCTAATTTGTTAATTTTTGTAGAGATGGGGTTTCGCTATGTTGCCAGGGCTGGTCTTAAACTTTTGAGTTAGCAAAATGCTGGGATTATGGGTGTGAGCCACCATGCCTGGCTAATATGATGAATTTCCTATCCACATAATTTGTTATAGCAAAAAGAGGAATCTGGTTATTCTGTTATCCTGCTTTTTCTTGGGAATATTTATTTTCAAATGATCAGAGTCCTTCAACTCAACAGTCTCATAACCAGTAAAAGGAAATGGAGATTGGTGAGAGATATTAAAACATAAAGGACAGGAATAGGGGAAATAAAGGAAGAAAAGGTCACAGACATAGAAATATGGAAGTTGAATTCAAATTAAATTTTAACTGAGCACCACTATTGGCCCCTCAAAATGGCTGACAGTAGCACTAACTGTTTTAAGTTTAAATGAAGGAAAATCAAATCACACAGCATTTTTTTATTTTTAAAACACCATTCTGAATCAACCATTTAAATAAAGTTTTGTTTTCCACTCATGTTTTCACATTATTCAGCATGTTAATTGGATACCCACTAGTACTAGCCACCTTACCAGGCACAGCAGATGACAGAAGAACAAGGAGCAGTCTCTTTATCACATGTGTTCCTAGGCTGAAAAGGCCCTTCTTTGTACTTCTTGGTAGGTGGAGTACAGGAATGTAGAAGACAGAAACCTAGGTTTAAACTCCAGTTCTAATATATATATATAGTTTCTGTGTGACTTAGGAAAAATAATCTCTCTGAACCTCAGTCAGGTTGGAAAATTAGTATGATACTTACCTCATAAAGCTGTGGAGATTAACTAAAATTATGTATGTAGAGCAATTAGCGCAGTATAGAGTGCACTACATAAATGGATGCTGGGGTTATTGAGAGCCATAGGATGGATGGATCATGGGTTTCCAAATATGGGATGCAATTTCAAGTTCTTAACCCCAAATTTAACACTACTTGCTGTAGTTTCCTGGCATTCATCCTATCATCCCCAGTTTACTGTACCTCAGGTTATCAAGGATATGGGAGGGATTCTACAAGGATATGTTCCCCCAGAGCTTTTTGGTACCCTCCAATCCTAGAGCTTGTTGATGCTAGGATGTCTGGAGAGCACTGGCCATTTATAACTGAGAAACATATGTTACAAAGGAGATGAGGGTAGTAAGTAAAGTTGAGGAACTGATCAAAATAGATTAATGGCAAAAAAAGGAAAATATTTTAAATTTTAATTCATGATAAAAACCCAGTTAAAATTAGGTATACCAGATTTCTTTATTCTCGACCATTTGTGCACATACACTCAGATTTTTTTCTTTTGGTAGTGATTTAGTGTTAACAACAATGACACAAGTTTTATGTTTAATTTAAATATTACAATGGTTAAACTGGTTTTGGGGGAGATTTTCCAGAAATTTATTAAATATGGAAGTTTCTTAACTACTGACATACAGGAACGAGTATTGTTTAACTAGAGAAAAGGTTGCCAACCACCACCAACCTCTACATTTTAGAATATAAAAGATAATATCTCAATTATTTTTTCCTCTCATCATTCATCACAAAATATCTCAATTATTTAGGCATATCCTTGGCATCTTCATAAAATTGTTCCATTAGGCATTCTATAATTATAATCCTATTATTTTTAATCCCTGGTCATCTCACCTATAATTTTCAAATGTTTTTTATTCCAGTTTTATATAGTCCATATATTTTTTAGCTACAGTAAAATGTGATTTTTCATGATTATTATTTTGAGACAGAGTCTCACTGTGTTGCCCAGGCTAGATGGAGTACAGTGGCATAATCTCAGCTCACTGCAACCTCTGCCTCCCAAATTCAAGAGATTCTTCTGCCTTGGCCTCCCAAGTAGCTAGAATTATAGGCATGTGCCACCACACCTGGTTAATTTTTATATTTTTAGTAGAGACGGGGTTTCGCCATGTTGGCCAGGCTGGTCTCGAATTCCTGACCTCAGGTGATCCACCCACCTTGGACTCCCAAAGTGCTGGATTACAGGCATGAGCCACAGTACCTGGCCTCTATTTTTCCTTTTAATTAGTGTCCTGACTGCCCTGGCAAACTGTCCTTTTTTTTTTTTTTTCATTACTTGCCCCTCTGGAATCTTTCTAATTGAATTTTTGTCCATACTGAAACTGTTAATTACACATTAAACATTTGCCATATGCCATTTAACCTGTGCGGGTCATTTTTGACTCTTTTTTTCAGAGATGGAGTCTCACTCTGTCACCTAGGCTAGAATGCAATGGCATGATCCTAGTTGACTGCTGCCTTGAACTCCTGGGCTCTAGTGATCCTCCCGCCTCAGCCTCCTGAGTAGCTGGAGACTAAACGTGCATGCCACCATGTTCTGCTAATTTAAAAAAAATTTTTTTTTTTTTTTAGATAGGGTCTTATTACATTGCCCAGGCTGGTCTGGAACTCCTGGACTCAAGCAATCATCCTGCCTCACCCTCCCTAGCAGCTGGACTATAGATGCAGGCCACCACATCTAGCCTCTCTGAATATTTTTACCTTACAAACATGCAGAGATGAAGACACATTTCTAAGTCCTAATCTACTGCTGCCTTGGTTGTGCTTTATTAATTTCTGAGATTCTTAGTCCTGTTTACTAAGGAATCGTAGAACATGCAAGTTATATTGTACTGCAATTGGTGGCAAGCTTGCTAACCATTCCTCTGGGTTTTCTTACTGTTTAGAATAAAAGGGTCAAAGCAAAAGGGTCTCACAGTGTTCATGAGACAGAAAGAGAATTTGAGTCCACTATATATCTGTGTTGATTTTCCTTTCATTTTAGATTTGGAGCCTAAGCACCTAAGTTACAAAGGCCTATCGGGCAGCTTCCACAAAGTTGATTCATTATCTTCACATCCAGGGAGGGCAAGAAGCAACAGCAAGGAATGACAGACAGCTCTGCAGCTCTACCCCAGGAGAGGAAGGAGATATGAGGGAACTGGGTTGGAGAAAAGTGCTAGATATTTTTCATTTTCCGTAATTTTAAAAAGCAAGTAGTCTGTAACTTTTTGCCTTGATAAGGAGAACTGTACATTCCACTTTAGAGAAGCCTGTGCTGCCCTGTAGCTAGTTCCAAAATAAAAAGATATGACCTGTGTAACATGAAACTCAGAAACAAACATTGAAGTATGGCTTTTTAAAACTATAAACATCTCAGTCATGTAAAATTAGAGAGTAATGTTTATATATTTGCTTGTTAGTACATGTCAAAACACTAAATTAAGCCCCCTTCCTAATGGAGTATATAGTCCTTTCTTCAAAGAGTGGTAGTATTTAGAAAAAGCCGTATTCTTTTATGATGGGGAAAGCCATTGCAAGAAAAATTTTGATGAGTCACAAAAAAAGTGATCCCAAAGAAAATTATGTCCGTTATTATGATACTATATACTGTAGTTTAGGAACCTGGTTTATCTGATCTCTTTATACTACTCTCTGATGGTCTCTGGGTTACAGAACTTTTATCAGGTTCCTATCAGTAATATACATAACAAATTGGATTTCATATTTAATACTTGATAAACTACTGTATCTAAGAGTAAGAATAATCACTTTTCCTGCTTTCGCTGTTAAATTTTTAAGAAAATTTTTGTGTGTATTCTACCTCTGTCCCCTGCCCACTTCCCATTATTTTAATTTTGCACTTGGTTCCTGTGCTGTTCCTAACCTTACTTAATACTTCAACATATCCCCACAAATCTCTGAGCTCACATTGTGTGCTAATGCTTTCAATTAGATCTGTACTAGCCAGTATGTCTCTCAGCTCTCTTGGCAACTTGTTCTTTCATGTAAATTGCATACAAAATATGATTTGCATATTATAAATATGATGTGAACAAAAAGATGCAATGCTATTAGTGTTCAGAATCACAAATTTATATTTTTAAAATTAGGAGTTAATTAAAATCCCTTTCATTATGAAAAGGGTATTATATTGCAAGTAATTCACATTAAAAGACATTCTACTACGGCCGGGCGCGGTGGCTCACGTCTGTAATCCCAGCACTTTGGGAGGCTGAGGCGGGCGGATCACGAGGTCAAGAGATTGAGACCATCCCGGCCAACATGGTGAAATCCAGTCTCTACTAAAAGTCCAAAAAATTAGCCAGGCATGGTGGTGCGTGCCTGTAGTCCCAGCTACTCAGGAAGCTGAGGCAGGAGAATTGCTTGAAACCAGAAAACGGAAGTTGTGGTGAGCCGGGATCGCGCCACTGCACTCCAGCCTGATGAAAGAGCGAGACTCCGTCTCAAAAAAAAAAAAAAAAAAAAAAAAAAGGCATTCTATTCAATAGATGTGTTTATTGGTGGGTCAGTTTTGCCAATGTTTTAATTTACATGTAATTATGTAGACCCTGTATCAGCAACAACTGACAATACTACTACTTTAACTGAAAAATATGTTAAACTGTCTCCATTTATATACTCTGTGATTATTTTATAATCCTCAAGTTTTATAGTCTTTTACAGAAGAAAATGATAATAATAAAGTATGGTGATAAACGGCAATTTGCCACAACGCATTTTTTCCAAATCTTAGGTAGTATAAAACACAAGACTTTTTTTGTGCACTCTACTTTTATAGAACAACCAGATTTATAATTTATCTTTTTATTAGATTTATCAATATACAGGAAGCTTTCTCAAATCTCAAAGTTCCAAAAGTATGTAATTTTAAAGGTGAAAAATCATTTTTTCCTTTAGTTGTCATATTCTTAGAGAGCTATTAAAGTCTACTTATAAACAAAAATAATTGATAAACACACTTTAGAAATCAGAATATTTTAAATTAAAATATTTTTAATGAATACAAGATATGTCTTTTTAATTAACTATCATAGTTAAATTTAATATCACAAAACAAAATGGCTTATCCCCACTAGTTTTTCAAGTGAGTTAAAGCCATTGGAATTTACACTTAATATAAGTTTTAAATGTGATATTTAAATGATAGTATTTCATCAATTATAGGAAATATTAATTTATAAACATTTCCTCAGGTCCATCAAAGGCCAAGTTTGAGCCCATGTCAACCTTAAAGGCTAGATTCAGTGCACCTAACTTGCCTAATAAGCTTGTCAATTTAAGAATATGAATTTCATTAATAAGGGGGAATAAAGAGTAGCTAATTCACTAAAAGTGAACAGGATAGTTTCAAATAATCAAAGAATTTTTAAAATTTAAACAGAAATGGCCAATGATTCTGGGTTTAAAATTTCACAATCTTTAAAAAAGAAAACCACATAGAAATAGTGAAGTCATCACCTTATTGATGAAAAACTAAAGTTTAATAGTCATTGAATGGGTAACAACCACTTGTAGTCTACATTTAAAAGTAATTTTAATCATAGCTAAGAGAAACTAAAAACAATTCTATTAAGAAACAACAAAAATGATAAACATTTAACACCTAAATGTAGATACTTAAAAATCCTAAACAAAAATATTAAAGTTAAAAGGGCCTTGAAATTTGTTTCTAACAAATCATCTTATATAATCAATTCCTAAATAGCTCATATCCTTTGCTTTGGTGTTTTATCTGCTATCATCTAAACATTAGTACAGTAGAAAATCACTTAGGTTCTTTTCAAATGCTTGGCATTATAATGTGATCTCATATCTTTCCTCAAATTAAATTTTGCTCCACATATTCCACATGTATACAGATGAACATCCATGTGCTGCTCCAACTGTTCATTATTTGGGAATATCTGAAAGCAGACCTGGCATATAGTCTCACCAGCAGATAAATGAGAAATCATATGCCGTACATGGTCATGTTTTCTGAAGTTTCCTTGATCACAAATGGAACAGACATACCTGGCCATGCCTTTGTGCATATCATTGTGCAGTCGCAACTGACGTTCTCTTAAAAACTGCTTTCCACATGTTTGACAAACAAACTGTTTCTCCTTAGTATGAACAGTATAGTGTTCTCTTAAGTGACACCGCTGATAAAATCCTTTTCCACACAGATTACAAAAATGCTTTCGTCTGTGATCTCTTTCATTTTCTTCCATGATGGCACTCTTAAACATATCTTGATCTAAGCAGCTAGACATATGTTCAACCACCAGATTTTCAGTTTCAAAACGCTGGCCACAATTAGGACATCGAAAAGGGCAGGCAGAATGTTTAAATAACTGCTTTTTTTGGATACTGTTTATCTGGTAATGATTGTCCCTAAAATCATCCAGCATTTCAACAAACATATCTCTTATTTCAGACTGCTCATCAGGATTCTCTTCCAAGTCCATTTTCTCCTCAGTATTTCCTAACCCATTCATGGTCAGATCTTGGGGCTCGCCACATCGTTGAGCATGTTCCTGAAGCTGCCTACCCTTTACAAGTATTTGTCCACATTTACCACAGGCACAAATATTTTCAATGTGTTTGGCCAAGTAATGAGATGACAGGTCCTCCTCAGTTATTGTAAGTCCACACAGCTCACAAGATGCATTTTCAGTATCCTCTTGTACTGGACTGCTGTTGTTAGGGGGTCTCATATTCTCTAAACTACCTCTTTCATCAGCACTTATTGACATTCGAGGTTTTAGAGTTTTCCTACCACTTTTTTTTATGCTGACATCTTCTTCAACATAGTATCTATAAAATGGCTCTTCAGGTTCATCTTCCAATTCATCATTGTCAGTGGATTCATTACAGTCTTTATCAGTAACTTTAATAATGTTAAAGTCTTTCAGTTCATCTGTAGGAATATCTTCTGGCTCCATCTTGATAATAATCCTTTTCCTCTCAGCAGCTCTGCTTTTCTCTTCGTTGGCTATTTCAGACTCCACTGTGCTACTTTTTCTGCTTCCAGTGGTTGAAGTTGAATCATCAGCAGCCTGGCTTGTGTCTCCTCTGTATTTGTCCGTCTGTGCAGAAAACGTTTTAGAAGAATCTTTTTCACCAAATTCAGCTTTGATGTTACTGTCTTTTCCATCTCTAATATCTACTATTCTATGGTAAGATCTTGTGTTTTGGTATAAATGTCTGTTAGTACAGGTCAACACATGCTCATCTAATAATTTTTCACAGCTAAAGCCAAATCCACAGCTATCACAGGTAAAACTCCGTCCAAAGCGTCTTGATACACGTTCTTTTGGAGTAGATAATTTGGACACGGAACTTTTTTTACATACATCAAATAGTGGCTCAGGAAAATTACCTAATTGTAAAGACTCTTCATCAGGCTCTCTACTATGTGGTGTATTTACTGTTGAACTTGGCTCTGCACACCACCTGTTGGCTTCATTGCCATTTCGAGCCACAGTATCTTCATACATTCTTACCCCAAATATCATTTTGCTGTTCTGTTTGCTGGAAGCAGAAGAGGAACATTTTGAACTAGAACAATCTGCATCCTGGATGTCTTCTAAGCAGTCAGGAACATTGTACAGTTGTAGGTAGTTCATTGCCACTTTAAACTGCTCAAAACTGGAGGGAGCTGTCATAATTTTGCCTAAATACATAAATTGCAAAATGAGATCAAAACATTCTGCACTAATTTTCATGTTGCTGAGATTCAGTTGTGCAGTACTATGCTGATGGTTCATGAAAAACATTCTAAAATAGGAGCTACAGGCAGCTAGAACTGCTTTGTGTGCTTGAAAGTAAATGTCATCAATTGCAATACAACAGTCACAGAGAAAACCCCATTCTCTTTGGTTGTTTAGCTGCTGAAGGACGTAGCTGCTGTGGCTGGGCTTTGCCATCTTCTATTAATTAGAGACCTATGTAAAACAAAAATGTTAAAGTCAGACAAGATGTAAAAAGCACTTGACAGAAAATTTTTTATCATTTGTGACTTGTGTGACTTTGCTATTACAATCAAGATATGAAGAGCTTTCCATTCTAATATAATAAAACTCACACTTTTTAAATTTGAAGATGAAGACACCCAGCCATTTATTCAGGATTTTCATATTGAACAAAGGCATCAAAAGCAAAAAACAGTTTTAGTTTCATTACAACTCTTAGGGGGAACATATACACTAAATTTGAACAGTGCCAGGTGCAGTGGCTCACGCCTGTAATCCCAGCACTTAGGGAGGCTGAGACAGGCAGATCATGAGGTCAGGAGTTTCAGACCAGCCCGACAATCATGGTGAAACCCCATCTCTACTAAAAATACAGAAATTAGCTGGGCATGGTGGCAGGTCCCTGTAATCCGAGCTACTCAGGAGGTTGAGGCAGGAGAATATCACTTGAACCTGGTAAGCAGAGGTTGCAGTGAGCCAAGACTGTGCCACTGCACTCCAGCCTGGGCGACAGAGCATCAATCAATCAATCAATTTGAACAGGAAAAAAAGACATTAATTTAAAAATACCTGAAGGAGGCCATGTGCAGTGGCTCAGGCCTGTAATCCTAACTTTGGGAGTTAGAATTACTGAAATAGCGAAGAGAAAAACTTTGCTTGAGCTCAAGAGGGTGAGACCAGCCTGGGCAACAGTGTGGGACCTCATCTATACAAAAAAGTTAAAAAAAATTAACCAGGTGTGGTGACATCACGTGTAGTCCCAGTTATTTGGGAGGCTGAAGTGGGAGGATCACTTCAACCCAACAGGAACAGGCTGCAGTGAGCTGTGATTACACCACTGCACGCCAGTCTGGATGACAGAGCAAAACCCCATCTCAAAAAACAAAAAAAGAAAACAACTCTTGAAGGATACGAGTAATGAAAGTAAATAAAACAGCAACTTAAACTGAAAGCAACTAGATTGTAAAGTATTAAAAACTTATTAGATGATTAATACTAAGGAACTATTGCTCATTGTTTAAATGTGAGAAAGGTAATTTGGTTAAGAATTCTTATCTTTTGGATATATATACTTCAGTATTTACAGATGAAATGATGTATCTGAGATATGCTTCCAAATAAATGGGGTAGGTGTGGGGAGCAATAGATGATACAAGATTGGCCGTGTGTTGATAAAATAATCTATTTTTAAAACTCAATTAAGCCTGGGCAATACAGCAAGACCTTGCCTTAAAAAAAAAAATAGCCAGGTATGATGAGGTACCTACAGTCCCAACTAGTCAGGGCACTGATGCAGGACAATGGCTTGAGCCCAGGAGTTTGAAGTTGCAGTGAGCCATGATCATGCCACTGTACTCCAGCTTGGGTAACAGAGCAAGACTCTGTCCCAAAAATAAAAATTAAAAAACCTCATTAGATTATATAGAAATGGCACCAAACAAATAAGTTTGATCAGTGCCTTTGTCTTAAATTGTTGAAAAAGCAATAATTCTATAAAGTTAGAATGTGTCTCATATGTACCTTCAATATGCATTTCAGGGTACACAGAAGCAGGGGGTTTATTTGAGAAGGTATTTTATTTATCCTTAGAGTGTAAAGTTTTCTTTTTCTTTTCTTTTTTTTTTTTTTTGAGACAGAGTCTTGGTCTTTTGCCCAGGCTGGAGTGCAATAGGGCAATCCTGGCTCACTGCAACCTCTGCCTCCCAGGTTCAAGCAATTCTCCTGCCTCAGCCTCCAGAGTAGCTGGGATTACTGGCACCCACTACCATGTCCAGCTAATTTTTTTTGTATTTTTAGTTGAGATGGAGTTTCACCATGTTGGCCAAGCTAGTCTTGAACTCCTGACCTCAGGTGATCTGCCCACCTCAGCCTCCCAAAGTGCTGGGATTACAGGCATGAGCCACCACACCTGGCCAGCTCTTCCGTTTTGTTTTTGTTTTTTGAGGCAGAGTCTCACTCTATTGCCTAGGCTAGAGTGCAGTGGCATGATCATAGCTAACTGCAGCCTCAATCTCCCATGCTCAAGCAATCCTCCTGCCTCAGCATCCAGAGTAGCTGGGACTACAGGTACATGTCACCACACCCAGTTTTTTATTTTTATTTTTATTTTTTTGAGACAGAGTTTCGCTGTTGTTACCCAGACTGGAGTGCAATGGCACAATCTCGGCTCACCGCAACCTCTGCCTCCTGGGTTCAAGCAATTCTCCTGCCTCAGCCTCCCGAGTAGCTGGGACTACAGGCGTGCACCACCATGCCCAGCTAATTTTTGTACTTTTAGTAGAGACAGGGTTTCACCTTGTTGACCAGGATGGTCTCGATCTCTTGACCTCGTGATCCACCCACCTCAGCCTCCCAAAGTGCTGGGATTACAGGCGTGAGCCACTGCACCCGGCTTTTTTTTTTTTTTTTTTTTTTTTTTTTAATATTTTAGTAAAGACAAGATCTTGCTATGTTGTCCAGACTGGTCTTGAACTCCTGAGCTCAAGTGATCCTTTTGTCTTGGGCTTCCAAAGTGCTGGGATTGTAGGTATGAGCCACCATGCCTGGCCTCTTCTATTTTTTTAATTGTTAAAAGAGGAAAGTAAGGCCAGGCACAGTGGCTTACACCTGTAATCCCAGCACTCTGGGAGGCTGAGGCAGGAGGATCACCTGAGGTCAGGAGATCGAGACCAGTGTGGACCACATGGTGAAACCCAGCCTCTACTAAAAATACAAAAAAGTTAGGCAGGCGTGGTAGCGGGCGCCTATAATCCCAGCTACTTGGGAGGTGGAGGCGATGGGAGAATTGCTTGAGCCTGGGAGGGGGAGTTGCAGTGAGCGGAGATCACACCACTGCACTCCAGCCTGGGCAACAAGAACAAGACTCCATCTCAAGAAAAAAAAATTAGCAAAAAATTCAAATATAGAATCATATAGAATAAAAACACACCTTAGGTGACATACCTCTTTTCAGAGGTAACCCCTTCAAACACTCTGGATTATATGCCTTCAGGTCTATTGAGATGCACATATACATAGTTAGCATATTGAGTACCTACAAGATGTCGCGCACATAGTTTTGCTTTCACTGTGTTTTTTAACCTAAATGATATCATACTATATATATACCTCTCTGCAACAAGTTTTCTTCATATAACATTAGACTTACTATCAGTGGGCATTTAAGTATTTTTAGTGTAGGAAGCTGACTTTGAATAAGGAAGAAAGGAGAGGAAATATTAAAAAGCACTAGAAATCCTATCATAAATTAAAACAAGATCAAATTTTAGCCTCCATTTTTAATCTGTACACATAAAGCTTCAGAATCTATCTTCTACTTAAAAACAAATCCCTACGCAATTTGACTGAACTTAAAAAGAACATGTAACAAGCTGTTCAGAGAAATAAAATGTTCACTCTTCAGTCCTATAACTCTTCAAACCCTGTAGTAGTAATTAAGAGTATCTAAGCACGAACTTCTACTTGCTTTTTATCTGTTCCTCACAGATCAAGTATGGGTCACATACCCCTTTCACTACCTATATGCCCATCCTGATGCCTCTAGGACACAAAGTTCCATAGCTAGAGATATGGGACTGGTAAAATGAAGATGGCTTATGATGAGACCTGCTGCCTTCTTAAAATTGCAACCACTGCACCTTTTCTGAAAGCCAGATCAAGTTTCCAGTAGGTTTAATATTTCAAACCTCTGTAACTCAGGTATCTATAAAACGCTATGAGGAATCATGTTCAGCATGTATCTAAATACAAAAAGCAATGTATACACAAAGATATTCATTAATGTGTTAGTTCCAATTTGAATGCCTAATAAAAAAAGGAGTTGCCCACCCCAGAATTCACTGTCATGTGGCAGTGAATTAAAAATTATATTTCTGAATGGAAACTACAGAAGTGGGAAAAAAGTTCAGGAAGGAAAGTCAAATAAATAAATACAAGGTACAAAATTATGTTAGAATTATATAAAACAAATCCATACCACAACCTATTCAAAAGGGGGGGGGGGGCAGAGAGAGAGAAAAAATACACAAAAATGCTGACTCAAGCCTGTTTTAAGTAGGATGAGATTTCTATGTCTACAGTCATTTTTGTAGGATTCAGAGACATGTAATAAATAATGAACCATAGGGTAAGAGACAGAGGGATAGGTATTATTTCCAAAAAACCAAAACTTTCTATTAAAAGAGTATTTCAAAAATGAAACAAACTTGTTTGGAGATTGAGTAACCATATTAAAGCAGGAACAAAATGCTACTGAGGACAGGATAGTACAGTGAAAAGGGCATGGGCCTGGGATCAGACAGACCTGGGTTCTTATCTAGCTTGGCCCCTTTTGGGAACTTGCTTATCCTCATTGACCCTAAGTTTCCTGAACTGTGAAGGTAGAGATAATATACCTCAAATACAATATCATATATGAGGATTCACAGAGGCAATGTGTAAAATGTATAGTGCTTAGCATGTAATAATGAAAGTAACAGTGGATGTTGTAATGGTGGCAATCCTTATTTAAGCATCAGAATACATTTGACTTGATAACCTTAAAATTTCTTTCCAAGTAAGAGTCCATTAGAAAGCCAGTAGTTAATCTATAAAAACTTTCAAGTAATAAATAGTCCAGGTTTGAAATAATGATATAAAGAGCATATAAGTTCCAAGGACCCTTTCTTATCTAGATGAATAGCAGTTTAATCATCAGCAACCAAAATTAATACAACTACACAGAAGATCAATATGATAGGCACATCTATAGCTATAGTCACAATTCAATTGAGTAAAAAAAATATTCTTTTATTAACATAAAACACTAAAACAAATAAGAACACTTATAGCATTTTAATGCACATATTTATTACCTTTGGTGTACCAGGCACTATATAAAGTATTGATCATCAGCAGTAGCACAAGTATTTTGTAATATCCAGGATACATCATTCAAGGAATCTTTACTTTTCCTAGATCAGTGATTTCATTCAGCATGTATTCCGTAAAGCGCCTACTCTACAGAAGGCATCATGCTGTAGTAGAAATAACAAGTGCTCTAGATCAGACAGATCAGAGTGTGAATCCCACTATAGAGCTGGAGAGTGAACAAATGGAAGCAGAACAAATGCTGCGTCTAATTTTTAATCCTAACACAACAGTTTTTAGGCTGACCTAGAATTGTAGTTTAAGCAACATTATTATACAAATGTCCAAGTTTTGAGTAAAACTGACTTTAGGCAGAGTAAATTTATAAAAGTAATCATTCACACATATTAGTACCAGCAACTTTGTCCTTGTTACACCTCATTCAGAAATGCTTTTTTCATTTTTCTTAAATTTTAATTATTTTATTTTTATTTTTTGAGATAGGGTCTTACTCTGTTACCCAGGCTGGTGTGCCATCATAGCTCACTGGGGTCAAGCAATCCTTCCACCTTGCACATTCTGAATAACTAGGACTACAGGCATACACCACCATGACTGGCTAATTTTTGTATATTTTTTGTAGAGATGAGGTCTTGCTATGTTGGCCAGGCTGGTTTTGAATTCCTGGGCTCAAGCAATCCTCCCACCTCAGCCTCCCAAAGTGCTGAGATCACATGTGTAAGCTACTATGCCCAGCCCAGAAAAGCTTTAAGAAGGATTAATACACCAAAAAAAAGAGTATGGGGCAGGGGAGAAGGGATCTAATTTCCTATGCTTTTTGCTCATCTCTTGAAGATAACTTTTTCATTCATTTTTTTTTGAGACAGTCTCACTCTGTCGCCAAGGCTGGAATGCAGTGGCACCATCTTGGCTCACTGCAACCTCTGCCTCCTGGATTCAAGTGATTCTTGTGTCTCAGCCTCCCGAGGAGCTGGTATTACAAGTGCATGCTACCATGCCTGGCTAATTTTTGTAAGTTTAGTAGAGATGGGGTTTTGCCAGGTTGGCCACGCTGGTCTCAAACTCCTGACCTCAGGTGATCCACCTGCCTCGGCTTCCCAAAGTGCTGGGATTACAAGCATGAGCCACTGTGCCCGGCCCCATGAAAATTTTTTATGAGGCATTCACTTTTATTAAATTATTATTTCACTAAAATTCCAAGAAGTGTTTGCTCTTTTCATTTTTTTGACCTCTTTAATAATTCTACTTAAAAAATTTAGTGAATTTTATGTTCTAGTAAAGCTTTTAAAAGGTTTTAAGTAAAAGGATAGCTTGTATATCAGCTGTACTTGTTTTTATGACTGAAATCTGTGACTGCTTTTGTTTGTATTACTAGCTGCATCACTGGTAGGACAAGTTTAGCACAGCTAGAAGTCAAGGGCTGAGGCTGAGAGCAGAACCTTCTGATGTGATTCAAAGGACTTAATGTCTTTCGGATAAGGAAAACAAACTATATAAAGCCAAGAGTTACCCAAAGGCTAGAAGGATACCCACTGTGCAGAACTCAGCAAGAATTAAGGAATTAGGTGACCCAAAGAGTTTTACACTGGATTTTTAAAATTTTAGTCTGAAAAAGTTTGCCAGCTCATTTCAAGTTTAAAAACAGCCACAAAGCACATTAAACATATTAAGTAATTTAGGCATAGATTTTTAAAGCCTGGAGAGATCTAATCTAGTCTAACATTCTTATTCTACAGAAGATAAAGATACAGGGTTTTTAATGTATCAGGGTATAGTTAACTGTTCTGAAGTACATTCTAGGACTACAGAACAAGGACTTCTGATCACCCAGACGGTAAAAGCCTCTATACAGCACTTCCTTGGTACTATACAGTATGGCCTTCTGTAAAGAACACTAAACAAGGACTGGGCATGAGTTCTTAATACAGGGTTCACTGGCTAGGTGCTATTGCACAAGTGATTACCCTCATCTGAACTCTACCTGCAATGTGGCTTTATCCATACATGTCAATCTAGTCTTATTCAATAGATGTGTTCCTTAAGTTATATTATATAAGCTATTTCAGTAAATTTCTCACTGACATAGCAAGATTTCAGAAATATTTTTCCTCCATTGCTAGATCTCTTAAATTGGAAATAACAGTTGTGCTGGAAGTTTCGCTTGCTCGAGCCTTGGTCAATGATAATTTAAGGCTCTATAAATAAGCATATCCAATGAATAAAGAAGTAACTTAAAGGAATTTTAAACTGATTCTGTGAGGCAAATAAAGATGATTTGCTTAGCCTCAATGAAAGTCTAGAGAGCCTAGCATCATAGTCCCCATTCAGCACCACAATCTCTGACTGACTTCCAATTACCTCTGGATCTCAAGGAAGATTTATTACCTATTTCTATGTCTTATAAGTTGAATGTATGTACTCATCTGAATTTAATTTGAGGATTACAGACTATTTTAAAAGCCTAAAATGTAATGAAAGATTCTTACGTTATAACATCAGAATATCAGAATGTGTTGAATACTCACAATGTTCCTAACACTGTATAAAGCATTGAAATGGAAGGTGGAGCAGGATGGTGTACAAGAGAGATAACTGTACCTGAGGGATTAAATTTGATACCAATAAACAATTTGAGGACAGTTTAATAAACTATATTGAGGCCGGGGGCAGTGGCTCATGCCTATACTCCCAGCACTTTGGCAGGCTGAGGTGGGTGGATCATCTGAGGTCAGGAGTTCAAGACCAGCCTGGCCAACATAATGAAACCCCTTCTCTACAAAAACACAAAACTTGGCCAGGCATGATGGTGAATGCCTGTAATCCCAGCTACTTGGGAGGCTGAGGCAGGATAATCACTTGAACCAGGGAGGTGGAGGTTGCAGTAAGCCAAAATCGAGTCACGGCACTCCAGCCTGGGTGACAAAGTGAGACTTCATCTCAAAATAAAATGAAATAAAATAAAAATTAAAAAATAAACTATATTGAACAAAGTTCAGTAAGAGTTTAGAAGAAAAGCATTAATTATACCAAAATAGTAGGTTTTAGGAAGGATGTAGGATTTGAATAAAGTCTTGATGAAAGAGTAGGATAAACAGAAAGCAAGGGTAAGGCATTTTGCGCATTTATATAGATGTGTATGTAAATAACTGAGAAGGGTACACGGCAGCATGGCTGAAAATGTAATGGGAGGGAAGGTAGATTTGCTTTACTGGACTGGTAGATGAAGGTTATCAAATTAGAGTAAATGACAACTGTAATACAATAATAACATGAATAGCTAACATTTGTTATGTCTTACTATATGCCAGGCTCTATTCCAGGCAGATGTATAGGGTGATTATATATATATATATATATGTCTCACACACACATAACACATATACACATATGGATATATTATACATATGTATTATACATATATAGGTATCTCACACACATATATATTGCATATATACATGTATGTATATATGTGTGCATATGTATGCACGCATATATAGGTATCATTTTATGTGTATGTATGCATATATAAGTATCATTTTAGCATTTAATCCTCATAACAAACCCTACAAAGTAGATGCTGCTACAAGACCTGTTTTCCAGATTAAATAACAGAGGCATTAGTGTTATATAACCTTCCTAATATAAAGAGAGAACTTCGTGGGATTGGAACACAGGCAATATGACTCTGCTGTCCAAGATCATGGCCTTAAAGATTTTGCCATCTATAAAAATAAGGTCACATTGGCAAAATTCTTTCCTAGAATACATTTTGCAGGGTCTGGAGTCCAATCTCTAAAGTTAATTGAATTCTCTAGGTTTCTCCTTGAAACTTCCAGGAATAACCAGTTGTAGAGGCTCCCAAAGGTAAGAGGTTTGATTTCAAGTCACATAAGTGAAAGAATGACCAAGTTTAGAGAATTTTATTATCTGCACTAGTGGCTGTGAATTAGTCTCCAAATTCAGTACTTAGTACAGGAAGTTCTGCAATTATAATTGGGTTATATCCTAAAACTTTATTTTTAATTTATTTGGAACTTGAAACACATATTCCCATAGAAACAATGCTATAAATGGTGGCTTAGTTTTATACCCACACCCTAAAGGCATAATGAAGCCGTATATTAAGCCTAGAAGTGCAGTAGTAGTATTTGTATCATCAGCACTGACAAGACACCAAGGAGCAGTGTGATACAGCAATGCCTATTATACTGAAGCCTCAAAGACAGGGACAAGGCTTAATGGCCTTTGTGTTCCTTGTGCCTAGCACACTCTTCCCACATAGTTGACACTTAATACATGCTTGTCAAGTGAAAAAATTAAAAAAAGAATCAAGAGAATGTACTGTTTGAATACAAACTCTACCACTAGTTTAGCTATACAGGAATTCCTTTACTTCTTTAAGCCCACTTTTCGCATCTATAAAGTTGGGATAATCATACTTCTCACCGGACTCGTAAATAAATTAGAGATGACAAATGTTCCTTTGCCTTTTCAATCCAAGCACAGTATAATTTTTTTTAAAATAATGTCATAGTTACAGTTTATAGAATTTTATGAAATGATCAAGTTCAACGCACTGCTTTATAGATCAAAAAGCAAACCGAGGCCCTAAGAAGTTAAATTACATGTTCAAAGTCACATTTAGTTTTAGTGGCTGTCAGGATAAGACCTTAGTCTCCTCAGTCCTGGTCTAGGGCTCTTCATACTACTCTAACTGCAGCCTACACATATAGCATCACCTGGCTGGCTGTTTTCTCCTCTGAAACAACTGTGTTTTGCTGAAATATAGTCATTGTTCAAATTTGCAAGGGTTGTCTCCATCTATATAAAATGGCCTCAGGCTGTTATGATTTTGGAGATTGTGCTTCGTTGGCTGGTTAGTATTTTTCTGTCTCCTTCCTTACTTGCAAGCCAACAGCTGTCACTTCTAAAAGGTGTGCTGATCTCCTGTGGCTCACCATTTCAATCTCTTCTTGGCTGTGAAATTAGACAAAAACTTATTGAAATTGAATCTACATATTTTCTGAAGACCTAGGGAAATGCTCATAAGAAAGATGTCAAGTTTTAATTCCTGAACTTTGTTGACAGGCGATCAGATTTCCTTCCTCTTTTGCTTGAGGCCAAGGCACTGGATAGCCGAGGCTGCCAACCAAGTAACTTAAAAATAAGTGAGATGTTTCTGTAGTTCAGTTGCATTATAGTTTTAAGAAATGAACTTATCCACACAGGAAGCAGAAGGAACACACTGGCTTCTGGAATATTCCTCTCTCCCTCCAGAAGTAGAGGAGGAAAAGTACATTTTGATCCATTCATCCTGAAGAGTCAGCACGGCATCTTCTGACCACCAGAGGGCACTGTGTAAACAGTAAGCACTTCTCAGCTAAAAGTGCTTTACCAGGAAGTCCCTTATTGCACATGGCATTCGTATTCTTAGGGTTTGTTTTGTAGGACTTCTATTTCAAAGTGCTAATTCTGTGGACTTAGATTTTTGTCTATAACACACTTAAATATGCTCCTCCGCCATCTCAGCTGCCAACACTACATACCAATAACCCAGACTGCTTGGGAGCTGCCTAGAACTTCTCCCTCATAATCAACCATTAAGTATTGCGGATTTTCCCATTAACTGTTTCTCAAAACTGCCCATCTACTCCATCCCTACCTTCCCTGCCCTCATGAGGCCTCTATCAGCACTCCTGAGTTATTAATATAGGCTCCTCAACCAGTCCCTCAAATCATTCACTCTCAGATAATTTTTTTTTCTTCCCAGAGCAATGCTGTTTTGACGATTCATGAAGAAAAATCAGATCACACTATTCTACCATGGTTCCCCTCACACAGCCTCAGGCTAACATATAAAATCACTATTGAGGCATACAAAGCCCCCATGCCCACCCATCTAGTCTTACATGTTTAGCTGCTTCCTGCTTCAAACTTCATGTTCAAGCAACATAAAACTGCTTATCACCACCTCCACCCTCCTCCACACACTCAGTATACTTCATGTATTTCTTACCTCCCCTCCAGTTTTACTTATGCCAATTGGTTCTTCAGGTCTGAACCTCCCACGTATCATTTAAAAATCAATTTATCACCTCCTGCAGAAAGCCTCAGGAACACCTTCCTCTCCCACGATTTTAGGTTTTGATCTGTGTATTATCTCCTTATTTTGCACTTATTACACTATATCTTAATAATCAGAACAGCTACATAAAGCAGGCATTAAAGCACAAACTAACTAGACTGCCTGGGTTCAAATTCTGGCTCTGCCACTAATTAACTGTGTGACCTTGAGTACGTTGCTTATTCAATTTGTGCTTCAATCTCTCATCTAAGTAAGGATGGTAATCTTTTCTAGCTCTTAGAGTTATTGTGAAGCAGTATTTCTCAAAGAGTAAATACCAAATAAGAACTCACTATAATTATGTAGTGGTCTCCCCATGAGATTGTGAGCAACTTTAACGCAAGGACTTTTTGGCTTTCTCATTTCTCTGGAGTATTAACTATTCAGTAAATGTTACTGAATGAATAACTGGTGAGGCAGCTCTTTCTATGATGATGGGAGGGATTGCCCAGTTTCCTTCTTTGAGCAGATCCTACACATTTTTTTAAAAAAATGTATTGTTTCCAATTTTGTGGCTCCAGTTTTGTTTAATTCAAATCAAAATCCTGAAAACATCACTCATAATTAAAATTCAGCAAAATGAAACCAGTAAAAAGTATCATAAAATGTATGTTCATTCTAAGAAGCTTAACTCAACTCCATTCTTAAGCCTTAAATCTAAGATTCCTCCTCATCCCAAATAACCTAACACAGCAAAAGCCTGGCCATTTCACACATGCTCTTCTTTTGCTTAGAACCTTTCCAATGTTCAACTAACTCTGGGAAGTTTTGTTTGTTTTTGAGACAGGGTCTGGCTCTGTCGCCCAGGCTGGAGTATAATGGGGCAATTTCAGCTCACTGCAACCTTCGCCTCCTAGGCTCAAGCATTCCTCCCACCTCAGCCTCGCGAATAGCTGGGACTACAGGCACGCGATACCACACCCAGCTAATTTTTGTATTTTTTTTTTGTAGAGACAGAGTTTCTCCATGTTGGTCAGGCTGGTCTCAAAACTCCTAAGACCAAACAATCCATCTGCCGAGGCCTCCTACGGTGCTGGGATTATAAGCAAGAGACACTGCCTGTCCTCTTTGGGAAGTTTCTTCTGATCTTAGGGTGAGGCAGATGTCTCTCTTCTGTACTGCCAAAACAGCCTCTACATAAAACTGTATGGTACCAATAATGCATCATCCAAACTGGGATGCCCTATTTATTACCACACTTGAGGCAGTGCAATTTAAATTGCAACTAGTTGGCTCGCCTGCTTTATTGTAAGTTCCTTGAGATCAGGGCAGTATCTTAGTCATTACCAAATGTCTGATGTTTAGTTGATATTTGATAAATTTTTGAATGAATAAATGTTTAAACAGGTAAGTTTTATTTTGCTTATCAATTTTTTGTTTATTTCAATCACAGCAACTTTTATATAGTGGTTGAAAAGTTACAAAGCATTTTCCCATACATTATACAACTGATCTCACAATCACCGAGATAGGTATTTTTATTATCTTCATTTTGCAAATGAAGAAACAGGTTCAGTGGTTGACTTCCCCGAAATTGCTTATCCTGTAAGTTAACCAAGAAGCTGAGACTCTTGATTCAAAGCCCTAAGTTTCAGTTTGTGTAAACCAGACAACACTCTTCTGAATATGACTATTAACTGAAATGCTCCTTTGGAACATTCTAAGCCTCCCAGAGTCCCCTTTTTCATAAATCTAAAAGCTCTCATCATTCTCTTACTGCCCCAACTTGCAGGGAGAATGTCGTGTCTGTTCCCTAAATCCCATCCATTTGCTGACTCCCACTGTCCACCAAAGCATGCCCTCTTCTAATACTTCAGATTCAAAGTGGGAATGGAGCTCTTCAGTTACCTCTAATTATGACTGCATGCATCTCATATAGACAAAAGAAAACCTAGTTGATAATTATTTAATCTTCAAATTTTATTTTGAAAACAATTTTAAATTCAAAGACTAGTATAAAAACCACCCATGTCCCCAACATCCTCAAATAACCAATGTTGTAATTAACTTTCTATGTACTATTTTGGGGTTTTGTTTTTAGATCATCATCAACTTCTTCACAGTTCATTCTTCTTAAATACATATGGCTAAGGAGTGAGTCCCTGCTGCCCCCTCCCCAATAGCAGTCTCTTTCATGCCACATCTGAAAACAGTGATTGACCTTTCTTTCCTCTAATTTCCCTTCATATGCTCAGCATGCAATCTTTGGTGCTGATCAAGAGGGAACCCCATCCCTTATCAGCACAGGGACATGATGGCAGTGGTCTTCACAGCAAATATATGCACTCCTTCCTAAATTATGAAACTCTCTGTAAAGGTAAGGGTTTGGTTTTGTTTTGATGCTATAAATCAATCCATCAGACGCTGGACAACGACATTAACATGAACAAGGTATGAAAACCAGCCCACCCTGGTACAGTCAGTACTTAATAAAGACAAATCTAAACTAGCAGTCCAGTTATATTTAAACTCTCAGGTCTGTTACTTAATCAAATAATTTTAAATTAGCCCAATGCAAAACACTCCCCTTTCCTCTACCTGGCAATTCTTCCCAACCTGAGTAATGTGAACACAGAACATGAGTCCATGAATCACCACAAGCCATCCCCAGGCAGAGTGAGGCACACACAGCAGCATGGCTGTGATCAAATGTTGCTTCTTGTGTTTTAAACAAGGAACTGATTGTACACAGTAATTATCTCTGGAGAGTGGGAGTCAAAATGAGTTTCATTTTTGCATTTTATGTACTTCAGTATAGGCTGGATTTTTACAAAGTGCATGGATTTTACAATAAATTATTTCCATATGGAGAAAAAATAGACATGAGTAACCCTTAATTTGGTTCACATAAGAAGATAAGAAAATAGTGTGAGATACTAGCACAGAAGAAAATGTCAGAAGACATTCTATAGAAACCAAAGTGACCTCTCAAGATGTTTCTCAAATATACCTCAATTTTTTGGGAAGACAACAGATTGCAGCTTAACAAAAATCTATGGGAATTTTTCTGTATTTCTATACCAGATAGTTTCCTCCCCTTTGTACCAGAAGGTGAATAGCAAAGGCTTAGTGCTGTTCCTGGCTAGAGGGCAAGCCTGAAAGCAGGTACTTCTTTTCTCATGCACATTAGAAAGGGAAATGGTGCCGCAAAAAACATGAGATACTCGCCGGGCGCGGTGGCTCAAGCCTGTAATCTCAGCACTTTGGGAGGCCGAGGCGGTCGGATCACCAGGTCAAGAGATCGAGACCATCCTGGTCAACATGGTGAAAACCCATCTCTACTAAAAATACAAAAAATTAGCTGGGCACGGTGGCGCGTGCCTGTAATCCCAGCTACTCAGGAGGCTGAGGCAGGAGAATTGCCTGAACCCAGGAGGCCCCAGGAGGCGGAGGTTGTGGTGAGCCGAGATCGCGCAATTGCACTCCAGCCTGGGTAATAAGAGCAAAACTCCGTCTCAAAAAAAAAAAAAAAAAAAGAACATGAGATACTCTTAAAAAGGTCTATGAACTGTATCTTCCCCAGAGCCTGGCAAAAGAGGAGAGTGAGTAAACAGTACCAAAATTTAGCAGTGTTAAAGTGAAATCAAAGCACAAGGTCAAGAGCAAGTGGCTGTGACTGTGCTCATGCTCTGCCAAAGCCCTGGTTAAACATGGTTTCTCTTCACTCTGACAATGATACACCAGTCCCTTTCCCACAAAAACCCCAAAAAAGTAGGCCATCATATTAGGAGGGGGAAGACAGAAAGGCTTCAGGAAAGACTGCACAATCTAAGTTATTCATCATGAAAATGTGGTATTAATGAAGAAAGCCTGCACGTAAAATGAATGTAAGAGGTTAACTGAAGGCCCTATGGTAGACTTTATGTTTATTAATCTTTGGAAAAGCATTTCACCTCCACTAATGCTTCAGTTTCCTGTTTTTCTTTTCTTTTCTTTTTTCTTTTTTTTGAGACAGAGTCTCTCTTCTCACCCAGGCTGGAGTGCAGTGGTGCCATCTCGGCTCACTGCAATCTTCGCCTCCCGGGTTCAAGCGATTCTCCTGCCTCTGCCCCCCGTGTAGTTGGGATTACAGGTGCGTGCCACCACATCCTGCTAATTTTTGTACTTTTAGTAAAGACGGAGTTTCCCAATGTTGGCCAGGCTGGTCTCGAACTCCTGACCTCAGGTGATCCACCCACCACAGCCTCCCAAAGTGCTGGGATTACAGGTGTGAGCCACCGTGCCCGGCCCAGTTTCCTGTTTCTTTAAGAGAAGGAAACCCCTTACTGGCTCCCAAAGTCATCCAGTTCTTATTGAGACTTTATTAGATATCCAGAAAGTGATTCAAAAGCAAAGTTTTGAGGTTCTGAGCAAATGAGGGCCAGCCATCATGCAAGTTTCATCTTTTTTGTACTCAATTCTCCCCATTTCTCCAGGTCATACCTATTTGCACTGACAAAATTTCATGGAATCTAATTTCTCCATTTCAAAGAAGACTGTGACTTGCTTTGTAAGTTATGAGAACTACATGATGCTTCACCAAATCAGCTCCAGAGTCCCTCCAGCTTTAGCTCAAGACATTGATTCTAGGTTGCCTCAAAAAGCCTCGGACTATTCCTTGGGTTCGAGTGTCAAAGCTGTTCTTATGATACATACCGTATGGAAATATACTAACACCAATGAAGAATCTGCACGTACCGCCACACTGAAACTCGATTTAAGAATATTATCACACACATACAAATGTCCTGGAAAACGTCAAGGATCTTCATCAACCTCTTCCTGACGCGCCCAATTTAGAAAATGTCATGTCAACCCTTCAGACATATACACGCGTTGCTTAGGTAGAAAGGAAGACTGGGTGGGGTGGCTGAGCTCAGAAACTGCCTACATACTTTAGTAGTAACGACTCCCGTTCTGCATCCAACACATTTACCGAACTTCTAGCAAGCGCCCACCACTGCAAGCGAAAGCACTTCCTTCTCAGGAAACATCTTTTCCACTGAAAATTCCCAAACTCAGACCTTCCACTTTTTACTGAACAAAAAGCGTGTGTGCCAGCGAGAGGGGGTGGGAAAGAGCGTAGCAAGAATGTGCACGGCTCTTACGCCTCCTCCCTCGGAGCGCGCCCAAGTCTGCAGCCTCGGGCTCCGGGACACTTCCCCTCCCACCCGCCGCGGAGCCGCAGCTGTAAGTTGAGAGAAGCGGGCTCTGGGCACGTCAATCAACCGCGTTCTCCCGCCTCCCGTCTACACCTCCCCTCCCCCCTCGAAAAAAATAAAGGCAGAGAAAGAAAGAAAAGAAGGTAACTAATTTGGGAACTAGTCTCCATAGGGGCTTCTCCTCCGACTCGGGAAGGCCGCAAGCCCGGGACCTGACGCGCCAGCAGCAAGCAGGCGGCCTGGCAGCCGCCTGTCGCCTGATCCTCGCAGCGCGTCCGCCGCGCTCCGGCTCCCCGCACGGGTCGGCGCCGCTCTGGCCCCGCACTCCGCCAGGCCCACGGCTCATCGCCCTCCGGCCCGGGCCAAAGTTGCGCGAATAGCCCCACAACTAGCAAATACTTACCAGCCGCAGCAGGAACCAGAGCTGCGGAGATTTTAGGGAGTTTAAGGCAAATCAGTCGCGGAAAAGGCGGGCGGAGGCGAAGGGGCCGCGAGCTGCAGTGGCGGCGGCGCTCGGCGCTCGAGCTGGGCTGCGCGGAGAGGCTCTGGCTCTGCCAGGGACTGTGCTGCAACAAAGGACTTCCGCTGCCGCACAGCCGCGCCTGCCGCACCGCACTGAGCCGGCCCCGCTTACGCGGCGACTCCGGGTCTGCCCACCAGTTCGCTGCGGCGTCCGCCAGCCTTCCCCTCCCTCTCGCCCGCCCACCCACTCTGCCGCTGGCTGCTAGGGGCACCCGCGGTCGCCTGTTTGTTGCAACAAGTTTCTGCGTCGGGCTCCTAGGAGGCTGGCGCAACCCGCACCGCAGGGGCCCGTCGCGGCGACGGCGGCGACGGCGGCTTGACCACCCCTCTCGCCCCTCTCCCAAGGTTAGGCTTGGGACCTCCTGCTCCTCCTCCTGTTTGCACAGCTGGATGGGACTGGGCTCCTCCCGACTCCCCAGGGCAGGATGCGAAGCTGCTTTCCCACTCCGTCCAGATGTCAGACCCCTGCCCTGTTGGGCCCAACCGCTGGGCCGTCCCTCGCGGTCCGCCTCGGGTGCTCCGGCAACCTCACCCTGTCCCGTCGGATCAGGGTCGCTCAGTCCCCGCGCTCCCTCACCCCACCATCCGCGGGCCTGTCCGCCTCTGGCCCTGACTCACTTCCCCCGCCAAGCCCCACCTCGCCTAGCCCGCCTCTCCACCCAGGCTCCCGCGGCTCGCCCTCTCTGGCCCGGCGCCCTCATCCCTTCCCCAGCGAACACGCGGGCGCATCCTTCCCCACCCCCACCTTCACCCCAGAACTGAGGGGGTGTCTGTGCTTTTGCACACCCTGGGGAAAGTCCCCGGGTCACGCGGTTGTTTGTGGGGAGCCTCTGACGCTCAGACTTGTCCCTACGCTTCCGCCTAGAGTCACGACTGCGAACTGTAGCTGCTGCGCTCAGAACGCAGGCAGACCCCCGCCCGGCCACTCTGGCGGGCGGGAGGGCGCGCACGTATGCACGCACGCACGCACGCACAGCCTGGCCCCAGCGCCCCTAGTTCCCCTGTAACCAGGCACGCGGTCACGTGAGGCTATCGCGGGCTGCTGGCGCGGGAAGCCGCGCGAGAGCGGCCCGCGGGGGTGCGTGAGCCGGTGCAATCGCTTGCCGTGCGTGGCGTGGGAGCCCGCCCCTCCTGCACGGAGGCGTCGGCCTGCCGCCGCGGCGGCGTCTGGGTAAGCGACGCGGCCCAGCCCCTGTGGGCTGCCCTGGGTTCAGTCCCTCCCGCCGCGAGCCGCCCAGGGCGGCGGCCTGCAGCCTCACCGGTCGCGGACAGATGCAAGTAGCTGGGGAGAGGGGTGTTTTTGGTCCGATTGAGATGTCAGGCAGGGCACAGGAGGAAAATAGCACCGCAAGTGAGCGTAGGGCCGACGATGCCCAGAGCCACCCTTCGCTGCTCCTAGGAGCAGCCGCCCGGGCCTGATTCTGGGTGGCGCACGGGGTGCTGCGAAGGCGCGGAGCCGTCCCCGCTATGGGTCCGGGTGCGACCCCCAGCAGGAACCCCCAATAGGCCTGCGCCGTCTCCCGGCTGGTGCCGACCCCTCTTACGAGTGGGCGACTTTCCAGATGCTGCGAGGACCCTGCGGCTACTGTTACCACTCCCAGCTTGTGATTACCTAGTTTCTAGGGCAAGAAGACTCTCCGCCCCGGCCCTCATAATTGATTTCTTTTTTATCTTCAAATTATGTTTGTCTCGTTTTAAGCAGATGCAGTTTTTCTTTTTGAAACTTGCTCCATCTTATCATAGCCTTCTCTGGCACTCATTATTTGGAGTAATCAGGTGTTATCAGTTGCGGAGGCAGCGCATAAGGCAACCTAGTACCTGGAACCTGATAGCACCTAGCACGTTTCCACAGTTAGCGCCTGGATCTCCCTAAGGGATTAAATGTAGCATTCTTTCTCTTGAGACTCAAGTCCTTATGACAGAGCTGTTGATTCTCTCACAAGATTCTGTCGAGTGGGTAAAGTACACTTTGGTATCTCAAATTTTAGAGCCGAGAGGTGGTGCCTTATAAAATCTGTTTCATTCCTCTCGTTTTACAGAGAAGACACCAGGCCTGAAGAGCATGATGTAGCTGGAGCTAGCTACACTTCTCAATAGCTAGACTCCAAGACTCCAGACACCTTGGTGATTGCACTCTCCACCATGCCAGGACTGCAGTGCCAGTTTAACCCACTCACCTGTAGAGAGTGTATCTGCCGGAGGTCATTATACTTGGGTTGATTCAGGTCATGGAGAAATCAGGCATGGCCACTGTGATGGCTCTGGAATAGTGGGGTTGATAGTATTTCTAGGTGAGGTAGGCCGCTTATGGTGTATTTTTGGAGCTAAAAGCCTGCAGGCACCCCCCCTCCTCAAAATTTCATTGCTATTCTCTGCAAGAATAATGATGATCATTTACAGTCTTGGTTGCTTCCTTATGTTAAGGCATCAAAGTCTTCTTTAACAATCTGGATATATTTTAGTTAAGGATAAATCATGAATCCATGATCGGACATCAGCTTCTTAATAAGAAACTGATGGGATAGAACAGGGACTAGATTAGTTCTGAGAGCTGGGAATCAGTGAAATACCAAGGTACGGTCGGGAAGAAAGCAGAGAGGGACCGCATAACCTGTTAACACCATTTTTGTCCAGTCTTCCTGGAATGTCTTATTTGCATGTAGTAGAGATGGATTCTGCCCAAGTTGGGCCGCCGTTTACTGAGTAGTTGCAGTGGGCCAAGTCTCATACTAGCCGCTTTCATAGATGAACTTTGTATCTTTACCAAAAAGGAGATGGTACTGTCTTCATGTTACTAGCCTGAAGAAACAGGCTTATTACCTGGCTGTGGTGATGTAGTCATTTGCAGTAGAATTTAAGATCACTTATCTCTCAAGTCCAATCAGTGCTCTTTTGCATTATGCCTTGCTCCTGCTTCAGCCGGGAAGGGAATGAGAATCGCCTGTGGCTGATTTATTGGCGCCTGTGGTTGCCCAGAGAGGCCAAGCAGGACTTTCAGCTGCCCTCTATGCCTTACAAAGTGGAGCTGTGAGCTTCCACCCTATCTCCTGAGGGGAATGTGAAGGAGCCAGGCTGTCTAGCGGGGGGTGGGTGGGGTGGGGGGGGCAAGTGCCTTGGCCGTAAAATATTCTGGCCAGGGCTGTGCTGGGAAGTGTTGCATAATGCCCTCCCCAACACTGAACCAAAGTGCTTTATTTACTACCGTCCGTAGCTGGTGCCTGACCAACTTGTCCATTTTAGCAATAACAGGGTAGAAAAGACTTGAGGGTTTTATATGATTGCAGGTTTTTTCCTTGTTCTAAAAAAGCAGTGCAGGTGCTCTTATCTTGATAAATTATAGTGCTTCTTTCTACACCACTTCCTGTGCGCCTTTTCTGCATATTTATTCCAAATAGCATGTGAACTTCAGTCTTTTAAGAAGAGAAAGCTAAGAAAATACTCCTTCAGTTTATTAGCGTAAGCTATGGAGACAGCCCTGGCTTTTTATCTCCACTTTATATCGTTTGCTAAATGTGTGTCCTAAGCCTAGGATTTTTCCTTATTTGTAAAATAAGTACATTTGTAAAATGGAAATGAAAACAATACATGAGTCATCACAGTGAAGATTGAAAGAGATAATATATATAGAGCACTTAGCACAAGGCCTTGCATATAGTATTTATTCATTATAATAATAGGTTTTGAAAATAATATATTATATTAGAATAATATCATAGTAGTATCCCTAAGAAAGGAAAAATTTTGCTACTTGAACCTGCTTAGGGATAGAGGAGGAAGAAGAAAGTGTGAAGCAAACATCAGTTTCAGGATTGTTGAGTAAATTTATTTATACTTTTTTTTTTTTTTTTTCCCTTTCTGAGATAGAGTCTACCTCTGTCACCCAGGCTGGAGTGCAGTGATGTGATCTCGGCTCACTGTAGCCTCCGCCTCCTGTGTTCAAGCTGTTCTCCAGCCTCAGCCTCCCGAGTAGCTGGGATTATAGGCGCCTGCCACCACACCTGGCTACTTTTTGTATTTTTAGTAGAGAGGGGGTTTCACCAAGTTGGCCAGGCTGGTCTTGAACACCTGACCTCAAGTGATCCACCCTCCTTGGCCTCCCAAAGTGCTGGGATTACAGGCATTTATTTACATTTCTGCTTTCCCTTTGCAGAAATTCCCCAGGAATTTTCTTTCCCTTCCTTTTTTTTTTTTTTTTTTTTTTTGCCTTAGTTGGAGAAAAAGTTCTTAGAGTATTAAGTCAGTTATTTTTCTAATTCATTTCTTCTCTGTTTACAAATCAGTCATGTGTGAATGTTTTGTTCCTTCTGAAAAACTGCAGGCACTTTAAGCAAAGGGTTTTATTAGCCCACTTGAGTAATGTGTTCATGGGAGTATAGTTCGGTTGCAAAAATATACTGGTTTACCTGTATCCAGAAGTTTTAGCCACTCTTTACTGTATTCTAGGTCTGTACTAGCATTGTCATTTTCCAGCTTTTTCCTGTCCTTTGAGTACCTTATTTTTTCTTTCAGAAAAATTGGTCTGTCTGTAATGGACTAAGAAGAATCTTTTTCCTGTCCTTTGAGTACCTTATTTTTTCTTCCAGAAAAAATTGGTCTGTCTTTAATGGACTAAGAAGAATCTTTTCCATTTTTTCTCAGAGTTCTGATTTTTTTTTAAAGGTCTGTTAACAATTTGCACTTACTGTTGTTAGTATGCTTATGTGCTTAGCTCTATCAGGCATCCTACAGTGTAATGTTGGTTAGATGGGAGTTAGAGATGCTTGGAGGTTGGCTATGTCTGTCAACAGGCAGGAGGCCCCAAACATTTCTGGGTCCCATTAAAGGTTTCTAGAGCACAACTACTCTTCCTGTTTCATCTACCATGTCAACTTCATACCCTCTTCGCTGATATTCTCAGTAGATCTTAATGAGCAGATGTCTGGAATTACAGCAGATTTTACCTGACACCGTATTTTCAGATTTGGAATTTCTCTATCATTTTTAGATGTTTTGAAATCTAATCTAGTTGTAATGGAGTAAGAGAGTAAATATTTCTTTTTCCTAAATACTATTTGAAAGGAAGTCTGAAAATAGTATATTCCTCCACCTCGACTCCCATGCCCATCCTGCCAGTTTAAGAGCACTTTTGTTTCTTAATCTGGCCAATATTTTAGTTTAAAGTTAGAATTATAGTTGTTGATATTTGTTCATTTAATGTAGCCAGCATAATTTCCACACTTTGAACACTCTTATGAAATTGCTTATTTATAGAGACTAGTATAAAGTTGTTCTATCTTACTTAGTTTGAACTAATGCAGAGTTACTACAATCTAGGAAGTAAAGAAGGTTTTTATAGTCTCTTAAATATCAATGTAATTGTAGTGTGTCAAATACTCTCTTGAGTTTCCTTGGTCCCCTGTTCTGAGGCAGTGATTCTTAACTGAGGTGTCACGTTAGAATCACCTGGGAAGCTTTTTTAAAAAAGAATCTCTGGGCCAGGCGAAGTGGCTCACGTCTGTAATCCCAGCACTTTGGGAGGCCAAGGCTGGAGGATCATGAGGTCACAAGGTCGAGACCATCCTGGCCAACGTGGTGAAACCCCCCTGGCCAACATGGTGAAACCCCATCTCTCCTAAAAAATACAAAAAGTTAGCTGGGCATGGTGGCACGCACCTGTAGTACCAACTACTTGGTAGGCTGAGGCAGGGGAATCACTTGAACCTGGGAGGTGGAGGTTGCAGTGAGCCAAGATCATGCCACTGCACTCCAGCCTGGTGACAGAGCAAGACTCCATCTCAACAACAAGAAAAAGATCCTGTGCCTCACCCCTAGCAATTCTCTTTGGGCTAAGTCCGGGCTGGGACCCAGAGGTCAATATAGTTCTGCATAGAAGGTTTACAGTGTAGTCAGCAGTAAGAGCCTCGATTTCAGGATAAAATGATTTCTACAAACATTCTTTCATTCTCTGGGTAATTAAATGTCACACCTCTACAGTCATGTGAAAGTTCCATTAAAAAGTTAGTCGCTATATAAAGTCTTTTATCATATGGCACTTGGAATATTTTGCTTTTGCCTTTGTATTTATAGCCATGAGTAAGTAGCTCAAAAAAACTGTCCATATTCCTCTGCCAACTTTCTTGACTCCTTGTCTGAATGATAATTCGTCATAAGGTCTCAGTGGTAAGCATTGACAGAAAAAATATCTAAGACTGTTTTCCTCCAGAAACAGTTGTCTTGCTCTTTTTGTTCCTTTTTTATTAAGGATTCTTACCGCCTGAGAGAATGAAGAGCTGTGCAGTCCAGGATATCAGGCTGGCTACCATAGATCTGAGAATCCAGTCTAGTACAATAGATTTTTCTAAATAAATAAAAATCAAAGATATATATTGAATATCAAGCTAACTTTAAACATAGATACTAGTATAAAGTTGTTCCATCTTAGTTTGAAGTAATCCAGAGTTACCACAAACTAAGAGAAGGTAAAGAAGGTTTTTGTAATCTCTTACATATTAATGCTAAATCTTATGATAATGTATCACTTTGATAACAGATAAAACATTCAAAAATGTAACAATCTTACATTTTGATTCTAGTATTTATAATAAAATGATACATTATTTTTCCATAATTTCTCTCACATCTTGAAATTCTTGCCAGGTGCGGTGGCTCAGGCCTGTAATCCCAGCACTTTGGGAGTCTGAGGTGGGTAGATCACGAGGTCAGGAGATTGAGACCATCCAGGCTAATACCGTGAAACCACATCTCTACTAAAAATACAGAAAATTAGCTGGGCATGGTAGCATGAGCCTATACTCCCAGCTACTCGTGAGGCTGAGGTAGGAGAATGGCTTAAACCCAGGATGGGGAGGTTGTGGTGACACAAGATTGAGCCATTGCATTCCAGCCTGGGCAACAAGAGTGAAACTCCATCTCAAAAAAAAAAAAATTGTGTAGGACAGTAGTTCTCAAAGTGTGGTCCAAGGATCCACTGAAGGTTTCATGGGTCAATAAGGATCTCCCTTATATGAGACCAGATTCTCAATATACTTGAACCAAAACAACATGTAACAACAGATTGAATGCAGAATCAGATAAGAGAGTCCAGCTGTATCCGTTAAAGCCAGATATTAAAGAGGATTGCAAAATGTAAATTAATACCACTCTTCTCACTTATTTTTGAAAAAAAAATTTTAGGAAAAAATATGTTAATGTGTAATGGGTTTATTATTGCTATTTTAAATATTTTTAAATTTAATTTTGAATAAGGTAAATATTGATAAATATAATCTATATAAACAGCTCTTAACAATCTGCAATACTTTTTTTGTTGTTTTGTTTTTTGAAACAGAGTCTCTGTCACCAGGCTGGAGTGCAGTGGCACCATCTTAGCTCACTACAGCCTCGACCTCCTGGGTTCAAGTGATTCTCCTGCCTCGGCCTCCTGAGAAGCTGGGATTGCAGGCACGTGCCACCACGCCCAGCTAATTTTTTTATTTTTAGTAGAGATGAGTCTCACCATGTTGGTTAGGTTGGTGTCGATCTCTTGACCTCGTGATCTGCCCACCTTGGCCTCCCAAAGTTTTAGGATTACAGGGGTGAGCCACCGCACCTGGCCCACAATCTGTAATACTTTTTAAAGAGTATAAGTGGATCTTGAGACCACAGCTTTTTAGAACGGCTGATAAACAGTAATGGTTGAGTAGGGCCGTTCTGCCTACGGAGTAGCCATGCTTTTATTCCTTTACTTTTTTTTTTTTTCTAAGACATGGGGTCTCACTATGTTGCCCTGGAGTGCAGTGGCTATTCACAGGTGTGATGCCACTACTGATCAGCACGGGAGTTTTGACCTGCTCTGTTTCCGACCTGGGCTGGTTCACCCATCCTTAGGCAACCTGGTGGTCCCCCGCTCCCGGGAGGTCACCATATTGATGCCAAACTTAGCGCGGACACCCTACAGACATAGCGCACTACAGCCCAGAACTCCTGGGCTCAAGCGATCCTCCAGCCCCAGCCTCAGGAGTAGCTGGAACTACAGGCACGGGCCACCGCGCTCGGCTGTTCCTTTACTTTTGTACTAAACTTGCATTCACTTACAAAAAAAAGGTGGGAGGAAGAGGTAATGGTTGAATAGCTGCTATCAGGACAATTTCCTGTAGATAACAATAAACTTGATAAAAGTTTTTTGTTTTTGAAGCGGAGTTTTGCTCTTGTTGCCCAGGCTGAAGTGCAATGGCACAATCTTGGCTCACTGCAACATCCGCCTCCCAGGTGCAAATGATTCTCCTGCCTCAGCCTCCCTTATAGCTGGGATTACAGGTATCCGCCATGACGCCCAGCTAATTTTGTATTTTTAGTAGAGTCAGGGTTTCTCCATGTTGGTTAGGCTGGTCTCAAACTCCCAACCTCAGGTGATATGCCCGCTTTGGCCTCCCAAAGTGCTGGTATTACAGGCATGAGCCACTGTGCCCCAGCCAATAAAAGTTTTTAAAATTACTAGATGGCATTTGAGAATTACAGAAACTAGATTGAGGTCTGCGCTTGGAAGAGGAGAACAGCAATGAGTAAACTTCCATTTTTATGGCTTTTAGACTGGCATAAGGTCCCAGTTGGTGATATGAGGAGGTTGCTACAACTCTAGTAACAACCTACAATCTTTCTTGAAAAGGGCACAGAGCTCACAGTGATAATGCAGCTGGAAAGTGAGGAGGGAAATCCTAAAAAGAATGTTGGAGTAGCAGAACCCCCAACAATGTTTATAAACTCTGCTTAAATTTCTTGCAAACCCCTAAACTTTACATGTGTGGAACAGCCTCCAAACAGCACACTTAGGCTAAAGGAGCAGAGATTGCAGCTGCTGTCCACCATAGGGGAGGCAGAACTTGGAGTTTAAGTCCAGCTGAGGTGATTGTCTTCAAAAACAAAAACAGTGACACTCTTTGGAGGAATATTACAGAATCTAGAGGCAATTATATTAATCACAATATCTAGGCTATAATCCAGAAACTATCACCCTAATCAATGGAGACTAACCCCACAATGAACTGAAGGTTGGATTTAGCAGAGAAGATTTAAAGCAGCTATTATGACTATCCTCAAGGATGTTAAGCAAAATAAGGTTGTATTTGTGAACAAATAGGACATCTCAGCAGAGAACTAGAAACTAAAGAATGAAATGAAAATTTTACATCTGAAAATACAATATCTGAAACAAAAAATATTGAACAGGTTTAACAGATCAGATATGACAGATAAGTTGTTGAATTTGAGTATAGATTAATAGAAATCTAATCCAAAGTAGAGAAATTATTATATATAAAAGTTCTCTGTAAACTTCAGTGCTCAATGTAAGTTTCAGAGTTTATTACTCCAAGTGTCTTTTATATGTAAAGGGAAGAGGTGCATTTGGGTCTTCTTTTGATGTACAGCTCCCTTAATATCCTGTCCTGTCCTGTCCTGTCTGGGTCTAGGCTTTATGCCTTGCTGCTTTTTCTTCTTTTCCTTTTTTTTTTTTTGGAGATGGAGTCTTGCTCTGTCACGCAGGCTGGAGTGCAGTGGATCTCAGCTAACTGCAACCTCTGCCTCCTGGGTTCAAGTGATTCTTTTACCTCAACCTCCCAAGTAGCTGGGATGACAAACATGAGCCACTACACCTGGCTAACTTTTATAATTTGGGTAGAGACAGGGTCTCACCACGTTGTCCAGGCTGGTCTCAAACTCTTGGCCTCAAGTGGTCCCCTTGCCTCATCCTCCCAAAGTGCTGGGATTACAGGCATTGGCCACTCGCTTGGCCTAGCCTCTGGTTTCTAATATCTCCTGTAGTCAGATATTTTGCCCTTGCTGCTTTCCTGTACTGTTGTCAGAGGTCACCAAGAATCTTTTGGTCAGTACACTCGATATGTTTGTAATAGGCCTCACCCCCATGTCTCTCTTCAGTATTTTGCACCATTGCCACCTCTTTTCTGCAAGGTCATTGTCTTTTCTCACTGAAGATGTTTTTTATTTCTCCTCTTCTGTCTTATTGTGTCTTTTCTGTTTTCCAAAGATTCATTCTTAGCTTTTTCCCTCTTATTTCATTCTACTTTTTAGTCGACTTTATATATTATTTTCTACTTGGTTACTTCAGCCTTGTCATTTCAGAGGCCTCTTCTCCCTCTCTGGCTCTGCTCTCTCTCGAGCCCAGTCCTGCTTCTTCTCTCTGCTGATCACTAAACATTTCTACTTAGATATCCTGGGGTAGACACCTGGAGCTCAGACTGTCTGAAGTGAAACCTCGCTGTTGCTTTTTTCTTTTTGAGGTGGGGTCTCTCAAAACCTCTTATCAAGCCAGTTTCTATACTTCTCTGGTGTTCTGGGACTTTGCTTTTATATCAACACCTAGCACGTGGCAGTTACTCTGAAAATGCTATCTGAAGGAATAGATGAATTCTTCCAGTTACCCAAGCTGGAATTCTGAGACTCCCCTTTGATTTAATCTCTATGGTGACCACATCCAATCTGTTGCCAAGTCTTGTCAGTTTTGTGTCTAATGTATCTCTTGTATTCCTTCCTTCTTTCCCATTGCAATTACTTTGATATCCTAGTAGGCTCCTAGACAGTCTTTTCTTTCTCCTTGCCTTTTCCCTTGCTAATATTTTTTATGTGTTGCTATTAGAGCAGTCTTGACTCATGCCTAATGATGGTGATGATGATAATGCCCAGTATTTATTAAACACTTACTATGGGCCCCACTATCTAAGTGCATTGTATCATTCCATTCAAATAACTTAGAAGGTAGATACTGTCGATCTATATTTTATAAGTGAAACGGAGACCCAGAGAGTTAAGTGTCTTGCTAAGATCATGCAGCTAGTAAATGGCAGAGCTAGAATTTTAAGCTGTCTGATTTTAGTTCAGGCTTTAACTACCATGCTGTTCTCCCTCCCACATAGTAATGTAACTGATCACGCTGTTCTTACTCAAGCATCTTACAGAGTTATATCAAACACCCCACTAGTTTTTAGTCTTATATTCAGTATCCTTTGTGAACTGACTCCATCTCATTATTTCTGTTACCTTGTTTTTTTTTCTATGCCAAACTGAATCTATTATCTAAATATGTATACCCTTCCCAGTCATTTTATTCATTTTATTTTTTCTACCTGTTTATCTCCCTCTCATATCATGCTTTGTAACTGCTCTGTGGCACTAAATGCATTTCTTTCTCTTTCTTTCTTTCTTTCTTTTTATTTTTTATTTTTGAGACAGATTTCGCTCTTGCTGCCCAGACTGGAATGCAATGGTGCAAACTTGGCTCACTGCAATCTCCACCTCTTGAATTCAAGCAGTTCTCCTGCCTAACCTCCTGAGTAGCTGGGATTACAGGCATGCACCACCACACCCGGCTAATTCTGTATTTTTAGTAGAGACCGGGTTTCTCCATGTTGGTCAGGCTGGTCTCAAATTCCTGACCTCAGGTGATCTGCCCACCTCAGCCTCCCAAAGTGCTGGGATTACAGGTGTGAGCCACCACACCAGCCTTATTTCATATTATAATTATAGTTTGATGTTTTATCTTTCCTTTGAGCCTGTAATCTTGAGGGCGGCGTCTAATTTTTTTCTGTCTCCATGCCTTGTACAATGCATGCTTTTACATGTTTAAATTTCTCTTCAAAAATATCTGTTGAATAAGTGAAAAATTTAACTGTTACCCATAGACCATTAACCGTAAGATTGCTGTATTGATGGCTTATTAGTGTGCTATGTCTCATTTCCCTATGGTTCAGTAGTTCATTAAACTACATAATAGGAAGAACTGGTGAAAATGTTTGTGATCTGAGGGTTTGGTTTTTTTTTTTTTGAGACAATTTCTAAGGCTAGTTTAAGATACTTCAGTTTGAACCATTTTATTGATTCTAAGACATTTTTTCACATGCTGAAATTGTCAATATAAATTTTTATTTTGTTAGGCCAGGCGTGGTAGTTCATGCCTGTAATCCCAGCACTTTGGGAGGCTGAGGCAGGTGGATCACCCAAGGTCAGGTGTTCAAGACCAGTCTGGCCAACCAACATGGTGAAACCCCATCTCTACTAAAAATACAAAAATTAGCCGAACGTGGTGGCTTGTTCCTGTAATCCCAGCTACTTGGGAAGGTGAGGCAGGAGGATCACTTGAACCCAGGAAGCAGAGGTTGCAATGAGTTGAGATTATACCACTGCACTCCAGCCTGGGCCACAGAGCAAGATTCCTTCTCAAAAAAAAATTTTTTTTTAATTTTGTTTTTTAAATCTCCCTGTAAATTCATGGTGTTGTAGAATCAGGGAAATTTGTGAGTACAAATAAGGAGTGACTTGGTTAAATGGCCTCTTGGAACAATATTCATAATTTGGATTTTTGTTTGTATTCTAAGAGGATAGGCTCAAGTTTCTGTAGCTTCTGTCATCTTATTTTATATTGCATTGCTGCTGCAAGGCTTTTAAAAATGAGATAAGAGGTAAGAGTTTTGCTATTTTTTTAATTGGGGGAGGAATGAGGAAACTATTAGGTTTAAGTGGGAATTACTAGCAATGCATCAATGTAGAGTTAAAAGGATCAAGTTGCAGGATTTCTAAAGTATAATATTATTTATGTAAAATTTAAAAACGTGCTACCTTGCCGGGCGCGGTGGCTCAAGCCTGTAATCCCAGCACTTTGGGAGGCCGAGGCGGGTGGATCACAAGGTCAAGAGATCGAGACCATCCTGGTCAACAAAGTGAAACCCCGTCTCTACTAAAAATACAAAAAATTAGCTGGGCACGGTGGCGCGTGCCTGTAATCCCAGCTACTCAGGAGGCTGAGGCAGGAGAATTGCCTGAACCCAGGAGGCAGAGGTTGCAGTAAGCCGAGATCGTGCCATTGCACTCCAGCCTGGGTAACAAGAGCGAAACTCCGTCTCAAAAAAAAAAAAAAAAAAAATGCTACCTTGTTAAAGGCTACATATTTATTCAGAAAGAATGTGGTTACGTAAAAGAGAGTCATAAACACTGTATTCAGGATCATGGTTGCTTTTGGAAGCAAGGTGTGTAGAGGGATAGTATGAGGGAGAGATGCCAAGAGGCTTTGTATTGTTTATGTTCTGGGCTGAGTAGTAGATGGGTGGGTGGGTCTTTGTTACATTGTTCTCTATAACTCCTTTTCTATCTGAAATATTTTATAATTTTGTAAAATGAGGGGGAAAGGATACAGGTGAGTATTTGTATTAAATGTCATTTTAAAAGTTTATGGTTTTAAGTTCAAACCACAGTTTCCCACTCACCCTTGACTCTCCTTACTTTCCCTACCAAAAGTGACCATTTTGCTGGTTTCTTTTAACCTTTCCAGAGATGTGTACATAAACAAGAATATGTATAAATTCTTCTCCCACCTTTAAAAACTGAAATAAATGCTCCATTCCTTTTACGTAAATAGTTGTCTTCTTTATATAGTTTTACACTATTCCTTTTTAGCTTAATAATATAACTTGTAGGCCGGGCATGGTGACTCACGCCTGTAATCCCAGCAGGTAGATCACCTGAGATCAGGAATTTGAGACCAGCCTGGCCAACATGGTGAAACCCTGTCTCTACTAAAAATACAAAAATTAGCTGGGCGTGGTGGCAGATGCCTGTAATCCCAGCTCCTTGGAAGGCTGAGGCAGAAGAGTCGCTTGAACCTGGGAGGCAGAGGTTGCAGTGATCTGAGATCGAGCCATTGCATTCCAGCCTGGACAACAAGAACACAACTCTGTCTCAATAATAATAATAATAAAATTTGGGGGCCGGGCGCGGTGGCTCAAGCCTATAATCCCAGCACTTTGGGAGGCCGAGGTGGGTGGATCACGAGGTCAAGAGATCGAGACCATCCTGGTCAACATGGTGAAACCCCGTCTCTACTACAAATACAAAAAATTAGCTGGGCATGGTGGCACATGTCTGTAATCCCAGTTACTCAGGAGGCTGAGGCAGGAGAATTGCTTGAACCCAGGAGGCGGAGGTTGCGGTGAGCCGAGATCGTGCCATTGCACTCCAGCCTGGGTAACAAGAGCAAAACTCCATCTCAAATAAATAAATAAATAAAATAAAATAAAATTTGGAGATTATTCCATATCGTACATTAAATACGTAGTTTTAACAGATTCTGGGTTTTTTTTTTGTTTATTTTTTTTTTGAGACAGGGTCTCACTTTGCCTCCCAGGCTGAGGTACGGTGGCATGATCATGGCTCACTGTAGCCTCAACCTTCTCAGCTCAGGCTATCCTCCTGCCTCAGCTACCCAAGTACCTAGGACTAAGGCACGCACCACCATTCCTGGCTAATTTTTAACACGCAGAAAGCACTATAAAATGTTAGCTATTTTAATTATATTACTGATCACTTAGCTTTCTGCTGCCCAAGCCACTGCGAATCTCCAGACCGCTAACCCCACGTTCCACCACTGACCTCCAAGACCTTAGTCTGTCTGGCTAGTGTGGAAACCTCATTTTCTTTTTCAGTGTCTGCTCTTTCAAAGGATGTTCTCCTGCCCATCCAGTGATGCCCTTTTTACATCCAGTGATACCTTCTGCCTAAAGTACCAGGGCTCTCTGCACAGCTAGGATAGAGAAGATGATGTACAGTCTCACATCTGCCTAAAACCAGGGTACTTCTGAATGTCTTTGCTGCTTATACTCAGCTTCTTGGTCAGAATTCTATATATTCTTCCTCATATAGGCTTTCCTCCCCCAGTTGTTCCACCTTACCTTCTACTTTCTTTGGGAACCTACATGCTAATATGTGTCTGAATCCAGTTGAGATCAGGGTTTAAATTCTTTCTTTTTCCTTCTTTTCTTTTTTTTTTCCCCCCCTTTCCCTCTTTTTATTGAGACAGTGTCACTGTTGCCCAGGGCTGAGTGCAGTGGTGTGATCACAGCTCACTGCAGCCTCGACCTCCCAGGCTTAAGTGATTCTCCCACTCCAGGCTCCCAAGTAGCTGGGAGTACAGGTGCACACCACCAAATCCAGCTAATTGTTTTATTTTTTGTGGAGACGAGGTTTCATTGTATTGCTCAGGCTGGTCTCGAATGCCTGGGCTCAAGCATCCCTCCAGCCTCATCCTCCCAAAGTGCTCGGATTACTGGCATGAGCTACCACGCCCGGCTTGAGTTCTTTCTCATGAGGCTGCTGGGCCACAAGTTAATTGGGAATGTGGCTTGACATTTATTTTAAGGGTTGCTTAGCTACTGTGATTGATAGGTCGCCCAAACATTTGATGATAATTGGGAGGCCAGTATCCCCTGAGCACCAGAGGATCCCTGAGAGACAGTGACATCTCTGCCCAACCAGGATACCCTGTTATGTTATTAACATTTATAGCTAACATTTGCATAGCAGTTTTCATTACAACATGATTTTCACGTAAGTTACATCATTTAACTCTGAGGCAGGGATCAGTATCTCATTTTCATTTTTCTTAGGAGAAAACAAGATTAGAAACATTGTGTTCACATAAATGGAAAAGGACAAGTCTGTCTTCATGTGTCGCTCATACCAAGCTATCTTCTTACCAGATAAAAAAAGATTATATTGTATGGTTTAGCAGAGTTATGTCAGTTGTCATAATGGAGGAATTTAGTGTTAGCCATGTCTGCAGTGAAATTAAAAGCATTGAAAACTTGAGTAATTTCATTTATATTTAGGTCTCCTTACTACTCTGTCAGTTTGTGTGAACTATATACAATTTTGTATTAATAAAAAATATATGTGTAAGCCTGGTGTGGTGGCTCACACCTGTAATCCCAGCACTTTGGGAGGCCGAGGTGGGCTGATCATGAGGTCAGGAGATCCAGACCATTCTGGCCAACATGGTGAAACCCTGTCTCTACTGAAAATACAAAAATTAGCTGGGGCGGGGGGGGTGTGTGCCTATGATCCCAGATACTTGTAAAGCTGAGGCAGAAGAATCGCTTGAACCAGGGAGTTGGAGGTTGCAGTGAGCCGAGATCGCCCCACTGCATACCAGCCTCGCAACAGAGTGAGACTCTGTCTCAAAATATATGTGTGCGTGTGTGTATGTGCGTACATATACCTATATAAATTTATGTTTTCCGTTTTTTAGAAACACAATGGACACTGCCAGCCATAGCCTTGTTCTTCTGCAGCAGCTGAACATGCAGCGAGAATTTGGTTTTTTGTGTGATTGCACAGTTGCAATTGGAGATGTTTACTTCAAGGCTCACAGAGCAGTACTTGCTGCTTTTTCTAACTATTTCAAGATGATATTTATTCACCAAACAAGGTAAGGATGGGTTTTTGTAAGTAAGAATTTTTAACATTGTAATTTATATAAGCTTTATTATAACATCATTTTGGAATCCTTTGTTATGGAGTCACCCTAAGAAGTAAAATTATAATTTTTTATACATCAGTAATTAAACTCAGTGTGTAGGATCCATAGTGGAAAATAATGAAAATAAAAATAGCTGAAATTTATTGAAGGCTTATCCCATACCCAAGCACTAAGTATTTGCCCCATAATGTGAATTCTACTGTTGTCCCTAATTTAGGGAAAAGAAAACTGAGACTGAGTTAAGTAACTTGCCCATCCAGAATTATGTAGCTAATAAGTTAGACTCAGATGCAGTTGTCTGAAGCTATGTCTATGCTTTTAGTCACTAAGTTGTTAATTTTTATTTCATATAACACTTTCTTTATTATTTATTTATTTATTTGAGATGGAGTCTAGCTCTGTTGCCCAGGCTGGAGTGCAGTGGCACGATCTTGGCACATTCCAACCTTGACCATCCGGGTTCAAGCAGTTCTGCCTCAGCCTCCCGAGTAGCTGGGACTATAGGTGTGTGCCACCACACGTGACTAAATTTTGTATTTTTTATAGAGACTGGGTTTCTCTATGTTGGCCAGGCTGATCTCTAACTCCTGACCTCAGGTGATCTGCTTGCCTCGGCCTTCTGAATTGCTGGGATTACAGGCATGAGCCACCACACCCGGCCTCATATAACACTTTTGTAGCAAAGTTTCAGTATCATAATTCTCCCCGTCATATGGTCAGTATTACAGTTCAAGGGTCATTTGTTTCAAATATTTTTTCAAAATTATTTTGCTTTTTCAAATTTAGGTTACTTCAGTGTATTAGGTAGGGAGGGAGGGAAAGTGGTATTCAGATTCGAACCTTTCGGTAGAGTAGTTTTAGTCCATCCTAGAATGAAAGTGACAGAACACTATATTTTTTTAAAGAAACTTACTTGAAATACTTAGGAGTCCAGCCTCAGTTATACATTTTAATTGTTATTCATTCAAATATTTATTGAATAGGTTATTCAATATGTCAGGCACTGTGCTATGCCTCAGTGTACTAATCCACTCTCGTGTTACTATAAGGACATACTTGAAACTGGGATTTTGTTTGTTTATTTGTTTGTTTGTTTGAGACTGAATTTCACTCCATCACCCAGGCTGGAGTGCAATGGCATGATTTCGGCTCATTGCACCCTCCAACTCCTGGGTTCAAGTGATTCTCATGCCTCAGCCTCCCAAATAGCTGGGATTACAGGTATGCACCACCACATCCAGCCAATTTTTGTATTTTTAGTAGAGACGGAGTTTCACCATGTTGCCCAGGCTGGTTTTGAACTCCTGGCCTCAGGTGATCCACCTGCTTCAGCCTCCCAAAGTGCTGGGATTGTAGGCATGAGCCATTGTACCTGCCTCTAGACTGGGTAGTTTATAAAGGAAAAGGATTTAATTGACTCACAATTCCTCAGGGATGGGGAGGTCTCAGGAAACTCATAATCATGGCAGAAAGGGAAGCAACACTTTCTTCTTCAGGTGGCGACGGGAAGGAGAATAAGAGCCAAGTGAAGGGGGAAGCCCCTTATAAAACCATCAGATCTCATGAGAACTTACTCCCTATCATGAAAATAGCATGGGGGAGCCACCCTCATGGTTCACTTACTTCCCATCAGGTCCTTCCCACCACATGAGGGGATTGTGGGAATTACAATTCAAGATGAAATTTGGGTGGTACACAGCCAAACCATATCACCCAGTAACAGGTAAATTATAATCTCTGCCTTTGAGCAATTCATAGTCTGATAGTTAATGCGTGTAAAGCAAATAATTGTGCTATAATTGCCCCTCTTGTGCCTCATTTCCTTATCCATAAAATGCTAGAATTGTATATTCACCCCATGGGTACTAAGAAAATTAAATGGATCAATAATATTAAAATGCTTAGAATAAAGTTTTACACTGTTAGCTACTTTTGCTATTAAGAATACCTTAAGTGTGTCATAGAAGCATATACAAGGTAGAGTAAGGTTTCAGTGGCCCTATTTTGAGAAGGTTGGAACAAGCTTTACAGAGACCCTGGATCCTGAAGAATAAGGAGTTTTTCAGATGTTGTAGAAGAATGCAAGAATGTGCATCACAGGCAGAGGAAAAAATTGCATGAAAACATATAGAGATAATGTGAACCAGGCCAGCACATTCAGACGACAGAATAGATCAGAATGATTGAAATATGTGGCACAAAGGGGAGAGGAGATTGGAGTGGGGACAAGTAACGGGCAACCGTTTCTGCCAAATGAAGGAGTTTCTTATCTGACCTACGTGTCAATTGTAGAATTGTAGATTACCTTCACTGTATTAGAAATGCCACCTTCAGATCAGTCTCCTGAGAGCTGTAAGTTGGTTCAGCTCTCAATGCACCTGTTGTGTGCCAGGCACAATGCTAAACTGAACCCAGGTTACAGAAAGGTAGGCCTGCTATGTGGTATCTCTGTATAGAGCAACAAAAAATCATGTTATTAGAACTCTGAACTGATATTTTTAAAAACCATGCTACAAACCATGTAAGTGGGTAGGTTAGAACTAAGAGTGGAACCCAATAGAAGTCTTGAGATCTCAGGACCAAAGCAATGGATTGCCAGCGTACTGCCACCCAGGGCAATCTGATGCTCTCACATAAACTTCTGCTTCAGGGAAGGTAAGTCCGTTCACTGATTACATTGTTCCTTGATAGCAACATTTCCTTCAGGTTGTCTCTATTCTAATTTTGCAGGAATGTGTCTGATTTCACATACTTATTTCCATCTATTTCCTGAATTATAGATTCACATGTAAAAATTGAGTTTGGATTATTTTTAAGCTTTTCAAAATTATACCTGTATTCATTTGTGATATATTTATTTATTTTTATTTTTAATTATTTGAGACAGGGTCTGGCTCTGTTGTCCAGGCTGGAGTGCAGTGACACAGTCCTGGCTCACTGCAACCTCTGCAGTGACTCAAGTATTCCTTCCACCTCAGCCTCCCGAGGAGCTGGGACAATAGGTGCATGTCACCACGCCTGGCTAATTTTTTGTTTGTTTGTTACAAACGCTATGTTGCCCAGGCTGATCTTGAACTCCTGAACTCAAGTGATCCACCTGGCTCAGCCTCCCAAAGTGCTGGGATTATAGGCATGAGCTACCATGCCTGGCCCCTCACTTGTGATTTAAAGGACACATATATGAATATATTTTGGAAGCCAAAATAAGATTCGCATAATTTAGAATTTAAGTATTATCAATTTCAATAGGTTTTTTTTTTTTGGAGACAGTCTCTTTCTGTTGCCTAGGCTAGAATGCAGTGGCATGATCTCATCTCACTGCAACCTTCGCCCACAGGTTCAAGCAATTCTCCTGCCTCAACCTCCTTAGTAGCTAGGACTACAGGCATGCACCACCACACCTGGCTAATTTTTTGTAGTTCTAGTAGAGACAGGGTTTCACCATGTTGGCCAGGCTCATCTTGAACTACTGACCTCAGATTATCTGCCTGCCTCGGCCTCCCAAAGTTCTGGGATCACAGGACTGAGCTACCATACCTAGCCAATTTCAGTAGATTCTTTCAAAAGTTTTTAAATATTTTTATTGTGGCTATAAATGTGTAAAATTTGCCATTTTAACCATTTTTAATTGTACAATGCAGTAGTGGTAATCATATTCACAATATTGTACAACCATTACCACTGTCTATTTTCAAAACTTTTTCATCACCCGAAACAGAAACTTTGTACCCATTAAGCAGTAACTCCCCATCTCATCCTCTCAATCTCCAGAAACCACTAATCTACTATCTCTATGAATTTGCCTATTCTAGATATTTTATACAATATTCGTCCTTTTGTGTCTGGCTTATTTTACTTTCATAATATTTTGGGGGTTCTCCATGTTGTAGCAGATATTAGAATAATATTCCATTGTATGTATAAGCCATCTTATATTTATCCACTCATTTTTGGTGGACACTAGGTTCTTGCTACCTTCGGCTACTATGAGTAATGTTGCAGTGAACATTGGCGTACAGGTGTCTGTTTGAGTCCCTGTTTTTAGTTCTTTTGATTGTTTACTTGATAGACTATTAAATTCCTTAAGAGGGTACCTATTTTATTCATCAGTTTTCTACCCTTGGCCTCTAGTATAGTAAATATCACTTAGGAGTCACGCGATTAACATTGAACTAATCAGAATATATGTCTGTGTTTCCTAACTTTTAAGCAATAGATGGAATACATGAAGACTTTTTGCTAGGCCATAAAATGGGTATAAAATGAGTTTAAGCCTTTGTTGCCATATTTATTAAGATTTATTAAGATTGCTAAGTTCTAACTTCTTAGGAAGAAATTGCTTTAGTCTCAGACTATACTGTTAACTAAAAGGCCAGTCGACTAGCTTGTGTTTCATTTTGTGTGGGTCTGTTTTTTTTTTTAACAGTGAATGCATAAAAATACAACCAACTGACATCCAACCTGACATATTCAGCTATTTGTTGCACATTATGTACACGGGGAAAGGGCCAAAACAGATTGTGGATCATAGTCGTTTGGAGGAAGGGATTCGATTTCTTCATGCTGACTACCTTTCTCACATTGCAACTGAAATGAATCAAGTGTTCTCACCAGAGACTGTGCAGTCCTCAAATTTATATGGCATTCAGATCTCAACAACCCAAAAAACAGTGGTCAAACAAGGACTGGAGGTCAAAGAAGCTCCTTCTAGTAACAGTGGAAACAGAGCTGCTGTCCAGGGTGACCACCCCCAGTTGCAGCTGTCTCTTGCTATTGGTCTGGATGATGGCACTGCAGACCAGCAGAGGGCCCATCCTGCCACCCAGGCCCTGGAGGAGCACCAGAAGCCCCCAGTTTCCATCAAGCAGGAGAGATGTGACCCAGAATCTGTGATGTCCCAGAGCCACCCCTCACCCTCGTTAGAGGTGACAGGCCCCACTTTTACTGAAACAAGTATCAAAATACACTTATGCCATTACTGTGGGGAACGTTTTGATTCCCGTAGTAACCTAAGGCAACATCTCCATACACATGTATCTGGATCCCTGCCATTTGGTGTCCCTGCTTCCATTCTGGAAAGTAATGACCTCGGTGAAGTGCATCCCCTTAATGAAAACAGCGAGGCTCTTGAATGCCGCAGGCTCAGCTCCTTCATTGTTAAGGAGAATGAACAGCAGCCTGACCACTCCAACCGGGGTACCACAGAGCCTTTGCAGATCAGTCAAGTATCTTTGATCTCCAAAGACACAGAGCCAGTAGAATTAAACTGTAATTTTTCTTTTTCAAGGAAAAGAAAAATCAGCTGTTCCATCTGTGGTCATAAATTCCCTCGAAAGAGCCAATTGTTGGAACACATGTATACACACAAAGGTAAATCTTACAGATATAACCGATGCCAAAGGTTTGGTAATGCACTCGCCCAGAGATTTCAGCCACATTGTGACAACTGGTCTGATGTCTCCCTGAAAAGTTCTCGCTTGTCACAAGAACACTTAGGCTTGCCTTGTGCCTTAGAGTCGGAGCTTACACAAGAAAATGTGGATACTATCCTAGTTGAGTAGCAGCTTCTCTTTCAGAATTGTTAGACCAATTCTGAAAAAAAAAGTTGCATGGCATTTTTTATTCATAATTTATTTTCCCCTCAGTTCCATTGACTTTTTTTCTTCACAGTTTATCCATAGTTTTAAGGTTGTATATATTAGGTTCTTCTCATAAGACTTAATATGTGGCTATTAAAATGTAACCTTCAGTTAGTACTATGAACTTTTCACAAATGAAATCACAATTTAGAAATCAGTGTGGAAATATTAAAACTTTAAATAGGTATTTATAGAATTTCCAAGTTTAGTCATAGAATCAGTAAAATCAAATTGAATATAAAGTAAATGAAATCTGTTCTAAAGCATATTCTGAACTATCACTTTTGCTTACATTTCACATGAATTCATTACTACAAGGATTATTTTTAAATACTTTCTTTCATATAGGAAATTAATAGTTATTTTAATGCATAACTATATGTTATACATATATTATGATGTATAAACATTCATTTTAAGAGATACCAAATCATGAGTAGTTTTATTTTTTACTACTAGCTCCACAACATCTTACCTACATGGCTTCTCTTTACTTTTTAACATTGAGTATACCTCATTTTTAGTAAAAAATATTTCGGTTAAAAGGGAGAAGAGTCAGAAAGACATTAAAAAATCTTTAAGAAATAATAAGATATATACACATAGAAAAATAAACATGCAGAGACAGAGACTCAGCTAGAACTGCATTCACTAAAACCCCAGGGTTGTTACCTTGGTCTAGAGTGTTTTCTTAGACACCTTAAAAAGACCAGAGGTTTACATGAGTTGAAAGAGAAAGATGATAAAATACAAATCATCTTTCTACTCTCAGTGTAAGCGAACTTTTTGGGCTACCTGGGTTGATATTAATTTTCTAAAAATCACTTGAAAAAGTAATTTTTCAGTGGCACAGTTTTTACTTTTTTCTGATCCATGAAATCAGCAAAGTAGATAGATTCAATATTCTATAACTACATTTAAAATCCATAATGGTAGCTTTCCCTCTATAAATTAACTTAACTCTCTTTTATAATGGTGACACTTACAAAGCTAAAACCCCAGGAAAATTAAAGTTGATGGAATAAATTACAGATTCTCCTGCTCTGTGCACCTGGGAAATAGCTGGTTAAGCTTCGCCACAAACAATAGATCTGAAATGTATAAATTTCAAATACTGCATAGTCAAGGATAATAAAACAGACTTATTTTTGCCCTCTTGTTAAATTCTAAGCTTCACAGGCATTTGAATGCATCTAAAAAAAAATCGTTTGTGAGCCTTAGAATTTAACCACAAAAAAAACTCTTGAGCTCCCTCCAGATTGAACACTTCCAAGGACATTTCCTGACACATTCAGCAGCATCAGTGTTCAACCAAGAGGGAGCACAAAGAATAATCCAGCTAATTCTAAGGACACAAAGGTTTTCTCTAGGTAAACAGTAGTTCAGGTAAATTATAAAGTGATAAATTTTTCTTGAAAACTGAATGAAGAAAACTACTGGGCATTATGTAAGGCAGTTGAGTTTCTGCCTTAGACAAGTGAGTAAAGGCGCATATGGTCAAGACTGATGTGTGTTGAGAGCAAATCTAACTGTTGATATGGTTAATTGTATTGGGAGTAATTAAAATAAATGTATTGTTCTTTGAGGTCAGAACTTTAATCTTAAACTTTTTTCTACCAATTCACTTAAGCAACTATTCAGATTTGTACTGCCCTCAAAGATGTCATCTCATTGGAAGAATACAAATATTAATATGGATTTTATGTATTTTAGGCTAGTTAGGACCTATTTCCTAGCCTTCTTCAATTAAAATTTTATTCTTATTAAGATAATTTTTCTCCTCTATATTCTTCCCTATTTGTCCACTCATTATTCTTTGACACAGGAAATACTTGTATAGCTAAAAATCGGAGGTAGAGTTGTATGTGGATGGTGAGATAAGACAGTGCTTTAGGGCAGAGTTTGGAGAAATGATAAGAGTTTGCTGGCAGCTGATTGGCCGTGATAGACAACACTGAATTAAAACAGAAATATATCTGTTGAGAGTTCAGAAAATAGGGGTTAACTGTATTTCTATTCTTATACTTCCTTTTAATATTAGAAATTCAAAGCAAATGTTCTGTCCTTGGTCCTTATAACATTCATTCTGTTTAGGAAATGGGAAAATATCAACTTCATTTTATAGAAAAAAAATCCCAAAACCCGAATTCCAGAGATGCAATGAATAGTGGTGTGGGACTGACCCCAGTTTTGCTGTGGTTGTTTTCATTTATTCTGCGGGCTTTTTTTTTTTTTTTTTTTTTTTTTTTTTTTTTTTTGAGACGGAGTCTCGCTCTGTTGCTCAGGCTAGAGTGTAGTGGCACAGTCTGGGCTCACTGAGGCATTTTTTAAAGTAACTGTCATATGCCTAACACTGTGCCCTATTAGCTTTTAAAGACATGATTGCTTACTGAGAAACCTTCCTTTGTATTTTAAAAGTTCTTCCAGCTAAAACCTTTGTTCTTGACTACATCTCCACAAACTGGAGCTATACTATTAGCTGGCATCCTAATAATATAGTGCAGTTTGCATAATGATTACCAAGCTTGAAACTGGAAATGCCATATGTACTTTCGTCTCTGTATCAGGCAGGTACTAAACAGATATTTTCCCCTTGAGTCAGCTTAAAAATTTTTTCTTCTTTTGAAATCTCTCACACAGTTGTTTTCTGGAAAAAAATAGAGACTGTTTCAGTATTTGTTCTTATTAGTATATCATTAGAACTCAGCACAGTCTGCCTTACACGAAAACCAAAATTTTTTTATTTATAACTCTTCAGATTGTTAATTCTTGCTCTTCCTGATTTCCCATCTGTAAAGTGAGTGTAAGCAATACCTACCTCACAGGGGTGTTGTGAGGATTTATATTAAATGTGTTCTCTCAGTATTATTGATTAAAACCAACCATATAAGCTACATTTATTCTGGAGCTAGACCTATTAACTTTAATATTTCAGCCTATAAATTCTAAAACATCTTAGAAGCAATAATGTACTATCTAATATTCAATAACTAATTGACAAAACTCTTACTGTTATTTTTTACAAATAACTCCAGAAACAATAGTGTTGCTAGAATTCCTGTTCTACTGTGATTTCATCATCACCGTTTCTCTTTGGCCTTCATTAAGGAGGATATTAGTTCTTTGGCATTATTGGGAATAAAACTTCATCAATTTCAGCTTTATCGAAAGTTCCTCCCAAATATATTGTTTACATAAAGGAAAAGGAACAAAAACAATAAAGAAATATCATTTTTATCTCTTTGATGTAGGTGATCTAAATAGTAGATGAGGACAGGAAATGGGGTGAAGGTAATAACGTAGTATTATTAGAAAAGTTGGCCAGGTGCGGTGGCTCACACCTGTAATCCCAGCACTTTGGGAGGCTGGGGCAGGTGGATCACTTGAGGTCAGTTTGAGACCAGCCTGACAAACATGGTGAAACCCCATTTCTACTAAAAACACAAAAAATTAGCTGGGCGTGGTGGCCCGCGCCTGTAATTCCAGCAATTCGGGAAGCTGAGGCAGGAGAATCGCTTTAACCCGGGAGGCAGAGGTTGCAGTAAGTTGAGATTGCAACATTGTGCTTCAGCCTGGGCAACAGAGCAAGACTCTGTCTCAAGCCATCCTGGTCAACAAGATGAAACCCCATCTCTACTAAAAATACAAAAACTTGGCTGGGCATGGTGGCGTGTGACTGTACTCCCAGCTACTCAAGAGGCTGAGGCAGGAGAATTGCCTGAACCCAGGAGGCAGAGGTTGCGGTGAGCTGAGATCGTGCCATTGCACTCCAGCCTGGGTAACAAGAGCGAAACTCTGTCTAAAAAAAAAAAAAAAAAAAAAAAAGACTCTGTCTGGAGGAAAAAAAAAATATTCACTGAAAACTGAAGGAAATACATGTTAATCATGAAAAAAGATAGTCTGAAAAATGTATAATTCCATTAAAGTTTATTTATGTAGGCACATTGTTGATGTTGTGACTCATACTTGATAAGTGTCATTTTTTATAGTAATTGATATAAAAATGGGCCATGCAAAGAATTTTTATAATGTGATTTGTGTCTTTATATGTTTTGAACTACGTGTAGATCTGTGGCACCTAAATTATTAATTTTTAAATTCTTAAGAGTAAAGTCTGTAAATTATTATTTTCTGCTGTACTTCTGTGTTTGTATGGTTGGACCTTTTGAAAACTGGTGAGGTTACACAATTCCAACCCTGGATGTCTTAAATACAAGGAATTACAAACTTTGATTTTTCTCTTGAAGAGCTAGAAGAATTCATTGTGCTTCAGTATGTATCTGTACTGCACTTGATTAATTAGTAAGTATTGCTCTGGTGCAATTGATACTATCTGTCATCAACTCCTCTGTTGTGTGCAAAATAAAGTCATTTAGTCAGAATGGATCAAATATAAACTTACACTTTAAACTTCGATTACAAAAACTTGTTCAATAAAAGCCCACTGAAAAATCTTCAAAGTACATATAACACATAGTAAATACAGGGACCAAAATCAATAATACGTTGTGTGGCTAAACTCTTCTACCTAATGTACTGTGAATTTGCTTCAGAAACATTCTTTTAGAAAGTTGTGTATCCTCTAGTTGGAATGGAAACAATGGATTTCATGTATTTTATCAAGACAAATAAATTAATGTGACTTAATCAAAAACAAGTTTATTAGCTCAGCTTATAGAATGTGTTCTTATTTTACAGCAGTATCTGCCAAATGTTGTGTTCCTAGTGTTGAGGTAAGTAGTGTTTGTACTGGGTAACATTTTGGAGGTGTGATGCAAAAATGCATTCATGGGCCTAATACCAACAATAATCTGTGTTAATAGAAAATTGACATCTTAATCAAATGCTTTCCAACTACCATCTCTGGAAAGAAAGGTAGTATCTCATCATTTCCCAGAAGTTTCTTGCTTTGCTTCTTTCTTCTCTATTTACAGTCTACTGTATCTCCTTTTGCCCATGCTCTACAATAGTAGTTCTCAACCAAGGCATATTAGTCAGGATTCTCCAGAAAAAGAAACAAGGCTGAGCGTGGTGGCTTATGCTTGTAATCCCAGCACTTTGGGAGGCCACAATGGGTGGATTACCTGAGGTCGGGAGTTCAAGACCAGCCTGACCAACATGGTGAACTCCTGTCTCTAAATAAAATAAAATAAATTTAAAAAGAAAGAAACAACATGTAGAATTGAGAGAAAGAGATTGATTGCTTGATTATAAGTAATTGGTTCATGCAGTTATGGAGGCTGAGAAGTCCCAAGACCTGCAGTTGGCAAGCTGAGAGCCAGGGGAGTCAGTGATGTTCCAGTCAGAGTTTGAAGACCTGAGAACCAGGAGAGCTTATGGCATAGTTCCAGTCCAAAAGCTGGCAGGCTTGAAACTCTAGAAGAGCTGATGTTTCCATTTGGGTCCAAAGTGAGGAAAAGACTGATAATTGGAGCTCACGCAGTCAGGCCAGAGGTCTCTTTTTTAATTATCTTCTATTCTGGCCTTCAACTGAATGAATGAGAGCCACCCACATCAGGGAGAGTGACCTTGTTTACTCAGTCTACTGATTGAGATTTTATCTCCCTCCAGAACACCCTCACAGACACACCCAGAATATTATTTGACTATTGGGGCACCTCATGGCCTAGTTATTTGGACACATAAAATTCTCCATTACACAGGGCTATCCCTCCCACCATAGAGACATTTGGCAATCTGGAGGTGTTTTTGGTTGTCACAATTGGGTGGGCAATGAGGGAGGCTGCTGCAGGCATCTAGGAGGTGGAGGCCAGGGATGTTGCTAAACATCTTAGTGCAGAGGACAGCCCCCCACAATACAGAATATGTACCTCAAACTCAGTAGAGCTGAGGTTGACCAACCCTTCTAAGACTAAAACCTTTAAGTTTCGTGATGGTTGTCAGGAATTAAAGAATACAAAGAAACCTAATTGGGGGATTTCTATCTTAGTCATGTTAAGAGTAAAAACATTGTCTCAACTCCTTTATCAAGTAGGTAAAAATGAGCCTTTTGTGTACACACAGGCACATGTGCACACATACAGCTTGTGAACACACATTTCTGTTAAAGAAGTTAGAAAGTGAGAGATGGAACTTGAAGTGCATAGAAGGTATGAATATTGTAAAACTGTCAGGAGATGGAAAATGCCTTTTTGAGGTTTCTTCTGTGAAAGGGTTCAGGGCAGATTTTGCTTACTGCGTAGCGTTGCTTTTAGGTATAGTGGTATAATTTTATTCAAGATTGTGCCCTTTGATGAAAAACCTCTGGAAATAAATGTTCTGGGATAAAAAAAAAAAAAAAAGTAAGAACTGGAGTATGAGATGTGTTCAGAAATTCTTTTTTGTATTATTTTTGATCCGAACTTTTAAAAGATAAAAATGTGATTAAAGATAAAAAGATAAGGCCGGGCGCAGTGGCTCATGCCTATAATCCCAGCACTTTGGGAGGCCGAGGCGGGTGGATCACGAGGTCAAGAGATCGAGACCATCCTGGTCAACATGGTGAAACCCCGTCTCTACTAAAAATACAAAAAAAAAATTAGCTGGGCATGGTGGTGCACGCCTGCAGTCCCAGCTACTCAGGAGGCTGACGCAGTAGAATTGCTTGAACCCAGAAGGTGGAGGTTGTGGTGAGCCGAGATCGTGCCATTGCATTCCAGTCTGGGTAACAGCGAAACTCCATCTCAAAAAAAATAAAATAAAATAGAAATAAAAAGATTAAAAATGTGATTATTAAAAATCAGGGATGTATTAATCAGCAAGACAGTTTTAAATCTATTCATATAATGTTTGAACTAAATAATTGTGTCTCCAAAGAGGTCTCTTCATGAAGTTGATTGTAGGTTATAATTTGTGTAATTTTAAATCTGGCCAAAAGGTGGCATCAGCGTAACTTTAAAAAATGTTCATTATACTTGAATTCAGCATTACTATTAATAGTAAATATTATTTAGGGCTTAGCTACTTTTGGATTATGGTTTATAGAGTCAAAGCTAATGAGAATTTTAAAAAATTTTCATAGGGCACTGCAATATCTTGATATTCCTCTTCAATCGAGATGTCTCTGATTTACATGTACATGTATCAACAGATAACTTTTTTTTTTTGAGATGGAGTTTCGCTCTTGTTACCCAGGCTGGAGTGCAATGGCACGATCTCGGCTCACCACAACCTCTGCCTCCTGGGTTCAGGCAATTGTCCTTTTTTTTTTTTTTTTTTTTTTTTGAGACGGAGTTTCGCTCTTGTTACCCAGGCTGGAGTGCAATGGCGCAATCTCGGCTCACCGCAACCTCCGCCTCCTGGGTTCAGGCAATTCTCTTGCCTCAGCCTCCCGAGTAGCTGGGATTACAGGCACGCACCACCGTGCCCAGCTAATTTTTTGTATTTTTAGTAGAGATGAAGTTTCATCATGTTGACCAGGATGGTCTCGATCTCTTGACCTTGTGATCCACCCGCCTCGGCCTCCCAAAGTGCTGGGATTACAGGCTTGAGCCACCACGCCCGGCCCAACAGATAACTTTTTAAAATATCACATCATTGTGATATATTCAGCATTTCTGAAGATTTTTCCAAGTCATTAATAGTGAGGCCTTGGGATTTGGGCTCCTCTAATCAGGCATCACACTCATTTTTTGGTGTTCTGTCTGGTCAAGAAATAGATTAAAGGGCATTTGAGTAAATATGCTCCCTTTCTTGTTTCTTGCCTTTTTTTCTTTTCTTTTTTTTTTAACATCCACAATCTATGAGGTAGGCCAGTATGTTACTTACTGAAATTTAGTTTCTTTTCCAACTGTGGTTCAACAACTGACTTTCTACTTTCACACTTTCCAACCCATTCCATTCTGAGTAAGAGTTTTCTTACCCTCAACTATTCTCACCTTCCAATACTAGGTGAATATAGTCTGCCTCCGTGCTCATTTCTGATTACAATATTGTCATCATCCTAGGACTTTGTACCTAACTACCAATTGCTTTTCCTAAGTTTATTTTACAGCTGATGAGCCAACTTGGAAAATGAGCCCACTCTCCCTCCGATACATTCTTTTCCACTGTTTCTACAATTTTGAAACTTTTTTCATTGAAACAATTTGGTGATACTGTATCAAAATAATAGAAATAAAGTATTAGGGCCCTGCAAGGTGGCTCATGCTTATAATCTCAGCCCCTTGGGAGGTCGAGGCAAGTGGATCACCTGAGGGCAGGTGTTCGAGACCATCCAACCTGATCAACATGATGAAACACCATCTCTACTAAAAATACAAAAATTGGCCAGGCGGGGTGTCTCACGCCTGTAATCCCAGCACTTGGGGAGGTCGAGGCGAGTGGATCACGAGGTCAAGAGATGAGACCATCCTGGTCAACAAGGTGAAACCCCGTCTCTACTAAAAATACAAAAACAGCTGGGCATGGTGGCGCATGCCTATAATCCCAGCTACTCAGGAGGCTGAGGCAGGAGAATTGCCTGAACCCAGGAGGCGGAGATTCCAGTGAGCCGAGATTGCGCCATTGCACTCCAGCCTGGGTAACAAGAGCGAACCTCCGTCTCAAAAAAAAAAAAAAAAAATTAGCTGGGCATGGTGGTGCGCGCCTGTAGTCCCAGCTACTCGGGAGGCTGAGGCAGGAGAATTGCTTGAACCCAGGAGACAGAGGTTGCCGTGAGCCGAGATTGCGCCATCACACTCCAGCCTGGGTAACAAGAGTGAAACTCGGTCTCAAAAAAATAAATAAATAAATAAAATACAAAAATTAGCCAGGTGTAATGGTGCATGCCTGTAGTCCCAGCTACTTGGGAGGCTGAGGCAGGAGAATCACTTGAAGCTGGGACCCGGAGATTGCAGTGAGCCAAGATTGCGCTGTTGCACTCCAGCCTGGGCAACAAGAGCCTAACTCTGTCTTAGCTTGAACCCGGGAGGTGGAGGTTGCAGTGAGCCAAGCTTGCGCCACTAAACTCCAGCCAGGCACCTGGTGACAGGGCGAGACTCTGTCTCAAAAAAAAAAAAAAGTATTAAGCTACTGGAACACCATCGTGTCCTTTCATGTCAGAAGTCTGAAGGAATGAGTGCTCCAAGAGATTTTCTGTACAACTGGTGGGTCCCCACTGTCCTGGAAACAGGAGAGACTTGTGCGGGAAGGAGGCTAGAGAAGATGGTCTCACTGTGGTCATCATCCCTTGTCTGGTCTGTGTTATTACCAAGTTTCAGGAGGTTCCGCGTCAGATTTATGTGCATCCAGCAGGCCTTTGAGGAATGGGATGTTGTGCATTTAGCTCTGCCACATTTTTCTGTAGTGGAAGCCATATGAAACTTAGTCCAAACCATATGCAGGTAATTAAAAAAAATTTTTTTGAACTGGCATTTATGATAACTACCATATAGGGAGGAAAATCTGAAGAACCTGGAGTGGTTCTGTAGCAAGTGAAGTCATACCTGTTACTTTTTGAAGGTGAAAATACATTTGCAAAGACAAGGGAAGAGGTTTTAAAATGCAGATCAAAGATTCCAGGGCAGTGAATCTCAACAGTATTCCTAGCTGACCAGTTCTCATTTTCCAACATTGTTCTTTTTTCACATCTGTGCAGTCTGGTGGTATGAGCTCAATGGTGTCTGTCTCCGCTTTCTATCACTATATTTTAAAGTCTAGGAGGAAAGACATATAAAGGGAAGAGTCCTTTTTTAAAATCTTAAATGTCTCCTATTTCACTGTTAACATACCACAGTTTTGCTGCTCTCTTAAACTGGTGCCTATGCTCAGAGCCACCATGATGGCTATGCAGACAGTGCACAACCAGTGCTGGGAGTCGGGGGGGGGGGGGGCGCTCGCTAATGAAGGCTTCTTCCAGAGTTGGGCTGTGCCCATGGCATAGGCATGCATGGCAGCCTTGCCTTTTCGTTATCCTGGTTTAAACACTGGGTTTAAGAAGCCCTTATTTTGAATTTCTGCAGCAAGTGGTTTTCACTGATAGTCAGGATAGACAAGTGGTATCGAGATCAGAATAAGAGTTAAAATTAATTACCCCAGGTGACACAACTAATGTCTTGGTCAAAATTGGTAGAACTGCATTAAAAGGGGGGATTTTGGGGCCAGGCACGGTGGCTCACCCCTGTAATCCAGCACTTTGGGAGGCTGAGGCTGGCAAATCACCTGAGTTCAGGAGTTCGAGACCAGTCTGACCAACATGGAGAAACCCCGTCTGTACTAAAGATACAAAAAATTCGTTGAGTGTGGTGGCAGGCGCCTGTAATCCCAGCTACTAGGGCAGCTGAGGCAGGAGAATCACTTGAACCCAGGAGGTGGAGGTTGACTTTTTTTTTTTTTTTTTACCTGAATCGAGTCATGACCAATTGTTTTGGTATTTTCTGCATCTCAGCAATATAGAGTACAAGGCAGTTCTAACTTGTCACTCTGCCAGGAGGACAGAAATACTTTAGTTTTGGAAGACGTGTCTAAACAGAAGTGATATTCCAGAGTTCTTATGTTGCAAATGGCTATTCCATATGGAACCTCTGTGTTGTAATTTATATATATATTTGAGTGATTAGCAGCATATGCATGTCTGAAACTGCATTGTGAGGGTGATTGATCACAGATGTGATACAAAGACCCACTTGTAGCCATACTGACCAGACCTTCCTGTGACCTGAAGGCATAGATGTCAGAGGAGGAATTTGGGAATAAAAGGTTTGGGTACAAGTGTACACACATGACTGTACCTGGTTTGGTGTCACCTTGTGCATGGCAGCCTTGTGCCTATCCCCCAGAAGTGCAGCAATGGAAGGCCTGGGTCCTACGATCACAAGTACAGCTGTGAAAAGTGCATAATCCTTGTCCTATAATAGCACTGCCAGAAAGTTCAAGGCCAAAAGTCCTTTTTGAGTTTAACCACAAAGCAAGTGGTGGGGAAAGTGCATCTAGTCTTGCTAATGTCCTGAAACTGCTGGATGCTGCTCCCATTGTTAGGATAGGTTGGAGTTTACAGAGATAGTTTTAAGGCTGGGAGTTTCCAAGTTCAATGCCACACCATCCTCTCCTCACCTTTCCCTTCATTGCTCATTGTGTCCACACCCAGTTTTGCAGAGGATTTTCTGCGAGTGTGTAGTGGACAAACATGCATACTGTCCTTCCTAAGCTCAGGAACTTAACCCCCAGTGAGCTTAAACTTTCAGGAAGGAAAAAAGAAAGAAAGATATTCACGAAAGGGTTGGGGACTCCAGATGTCAGCATTAAAGGTCTAAAAAGGGATTAGCAGAATTACCTTGAGGACAAGTTTTGTGAAGTGTAGTGTATCTTTTTTAAACCAAGAAGATGAGATTTAATAAAACTTTTTTAAATCTTGTAAAATGTGAAATATTAGCTACCCTATTACAGTGTTTGTACATTAAGAAGACATTTTGCTTTAGAGCTAGATTTAGTTTTAGGACTTTTAAGGTACTATCAACTTTTAAATTGTTCCCAAGATTCGGAAAGTACAGTCCTTCGTTGGGCTGGATTATCATTGGGCTGTGGTTACGAAAAGATAAGTTGTTAACGTTACCTAAATTAAATCAGTTTTTTTTGTTTTTGAGACGGAGTTTCGCTGTTGTTACCCAGACTGGAGTGCAATGGCACAATCTCGGCTCACCGCAACATCCGCCTTCTGGGTTCAAGCAATTCTCCTGCCTCAGCCTCCCGAGTAGCTGGGACTACAGGCGCGCACCACCATGCCCAGCTAATTTTTGTATTTTTAGTAGAGATGGGGTTTCACCATGTTGACCAGGATGGTCTCAATCTCTTGACCTCGTGATCCACCCGCCTCGGCCTCCCAAAGTGCTGGGATTATAGGTGTGAGCCACCGCGCCCGGCTGTAAACAGAACTTTTTAAACACCTACCTTTAGTACATACCATCTGAATAGTTCTAGCATTTTCACATTGATTCGTTATTTGAAAAATCATTAATTCATAGGTTAATGCAAAAAGACAAGAGTATAGCAAGAGATGAAAACTGTGCTTTTGTCAAATTCACAGATGTCATCAAATTCAAAACTGCTCTTTTGATTGAGTTAGTTCAACATTGCAGGTGTTTGTATTTCTCTTGCTGAAGGTCTTTTTTAGGAGTGTCATTGTAAAGTCTCCGTCCAATTCCCAATCAGCAGAGTAGAACTTTTTATAGTGTGAACTCAGTAGTTCCATCAATGTGATCTTTATAGTTTTAGGGAATGAACATAGTTTGCCCACCATTCTTTTAAAAGATCCAAATAAATAAACATGAGTCAATATAACATTTATTCTGTATTAATAATCAGTACATAAATTAATTCAACTTGAAACCTTTTTTTTTCTACAGAGTATTATTCATCATCTGATCCACAGTAATTTAGTACTAATTTTAATGAGAAAAAAATGAAACTTTTACTTTAATAATAGCTCATCCACTTAACATTTTTACAAATAACTACTATAAATATGTAATACTATGCAGGCTTTTTTCTACACCTAGTCACAAATCAGAATGAGCATACTGTTTATTTAAAAATGGAACACTTTCAAACTGCTGCTGTATTCAGATCACCACCTTCCCCACACCAAAATTAATTGCTCTCTCTGTGTACTCCCCTCTATGCCACTCAGGTTGCAGCATTATCTGTGGCTCTTTGTCTTAATCCCAACCCAGTTTCTGTTGTCACTGCTCCCTGGGTTGAGCTCTTGGAGGGCAGGGAGCCTGTCCATCTTATCAAATAGTGTTAGGCAGAAGTTATGCCTAATATGTGTGTTGAATCAAATTGAATTTAATCAGGACACCTGAATTTTATATAGCTTCCTTCTAATAAATTTTTATAACTAAGGAACATTACAAATTTTCTTTTCAAAAATGTACCATAAGATATACCATGAATTGAAATTTTAAATTATGTGTAAGAGACTTCATGTTACCCAAGAAAACATCATAGGAATTTGAACCTAAAGAACTCTAAATCTTAAATGAGGATTTTTTTTAAAAAAACACAGAAATGGCAGGCAGAAAATCAAACCCTGCTGTATTGAGTATCAGATGAAATTAGAAAGTAGACTTTACATAGTTCAATAAAGTTGACATTAAAAGGGTCTTTTCAGACAGTAGGATTCTAAAGCCTAACAATTATTTTTAAAATTCTGCTGTAAACCTCTAAAAACATTCTTAACTATAAAAAATAAGGCAACTTGAAGTTAGAAATTTGTGGATGAAGTTAATGCTGGATTGCATACAGAAGCCAAATTGGTGCCCTGTCATGATCCATATCTTTAATGCCTTTAGCAAGCCTCTTCACATATACTAGTGAAATAACAATCTCTCAGCAGTAAATCAGAGAGATTCTAGGACTCCGCTAAATAGTAGACCAATTAAGATCATCACAAACTTCATGCTGTCAAACACATTACCTTGAAGAAAAATTATGCAGACAGCTTTTCTGAAGAACTCCATTTGTGCCACATGCTTATTATTCTTCGAGGTGGAGGAGGTGGCAGGGAACATAATTTCTGTTTGAAAGTTCTTTTGTTTTCTGCTACCTTTACTTAAATGTTACCGGGTACTATTTTTATATCCTATAAAGTGCTTTGAAAAAATGTTAAGTGAATAGTGCTACATAAAATAGAAGAGAATTTTCACATTCTCTGGGTTGTAAGAAGCAAAGTGAATAATACTTGACTCTTTAGAATAGGGATGATAATATGCTGAAAAAGTTAACAAGTATCCAATAACTCCCCTCCCCAACCCCTAGCCTTGTAAAATTCTGAGTTCAAAAAGAAACTGAATCTTGGCTAATAAACATTCATTAAAAGCAAAATTTATACCACAGCAAACGTAAATGAAAATTCATATGGTGTTCCTAATAATTATTTTAATGTTGTCAAATGTGAATTGAACCAGAACCTATTTATATTCACTTATTGTTTGCATATAAGGTCAAATTGCTTAAATACTATTACAAGAAAAATATTTTATGACTTCGAAGCCATCTGACTTCTGCATATTTCTTTTTCTTTTCTTTTCTTTTTTTTTTTTTTGAGACAGATTCTCACTCTGTCACCCAGGCTGGAGTGCAATGGCGTGGTCTCAGCTCACTGCAACCTCCGCCTCGGGTTCAAGTGATTCTCCTGCTTCAACTTCCTGAGTAGCTGGGACTATAGACGCATGCCACCACACCTGGGTAATTTTTTTATTTTTAGTAGAGACGGGGTTTCACTTTGTTGGCCAGACTGGTCTTGAACTCCTGACCTCGTGATCCTCCCGCCTCGGCCTCCCAAAGTGCCAAGATTACAGGCATGAGTCACCTGCTTATTTCTATAACAATAAGCAGGCCTGCCCAGCCCTGCTTATTTCTATAACAATAAAACAATTTGAATCACCTTAGAATTCACTGTAATAGGATTCGGCCATGTAGCACATATAATCAGATTGAGACCAGTTAATTTCTGAATTCCTTTTTCTAACTGAAATCTTATTTAATTGAACAAATATTCTCAATAGAAAAAGAGAAACCACTTAAGAATGAATGCAAGTAAAATATACATCTGATCATAAAAACAATCACTACATTCTAACCAAAAATATGTATCAAACCACAGTGAAAAAAAGTAAAAACCTGGTATTAGATAAAATTTTACTTTCTTAACCAAAAATTTCATTACACATGTTTACCATTTATCTGTTTTTTAAATCCCTCAAAATATTTTCAATAACTGGTAAGTACTATAGTTTTTGCTTTTTGATGAGAGATTACTACACATTTATAATGCAAGTGTATTGGCTTGGAGGCATCTTTGCAGTAAATGAGGACAGGATTCTTCAATACACTGTAAAATGCACCAACCTTAGGTTTTTAAAACTGTTCACTTTTAAATATGATATATATTTGCTGGTAGCTGTCCAAGTCTGTTAGCACCACATATAGTGAGTTAGAGTGTTTTCAGAGCAGATGACTTCATCTTTTTTAATGTTTAAAAGTTGTACAATTAAAAGAAACTGACTTCTTGGGTCATGTGTTTTAAAGGACACACTTCATCTCGCTAAAGTGAAGGATTCCCCCCACAACAAGATTATATGTGTGAAGGTAGGGAAATATTTTTACACTTCAGCAAAGAATCTTGCCAATAATATCCATGATTTGGTTCAATTTCAAAGTCAGATTAGTTTCTTTTGTTAGAGGTCTCAATGTGTATTTACAGAATGAAACAAAGATGATTCTCTAGGACAAATTAGCGAATACTTTCTATAGTCAATCCATAAGCAATGCAATACTTCACCAAGATCATTTAAAATCAGCTAATATGCATTCTTTCCTCCAAGTGGAGATCTTTAACAAATGCCTTACATCCCATACTTTATTACTTCATCTGTTTCAAGTAGTAACACAATCACTCAATTTACACAATGGGAGACTATACACTTTGAATCCTAACCTGTGAGGTAGGGAAGTGCATTATGGCCATTTCACACAAGGAGACTGAAATAGGATTACTTTTTAAAAAAATATGGCAATCACTGATGAGATTAGATACTTCCCTTTCAATCGGTAAATAAAAATGCAAATAAGCCCTTCTCATTTTTGTAAAGAATATCTGGATTGAAAATAGCGATGAAAAAGTTAATTTTCAATATCCATGTAAAATGCTTTTTACTAGTCTCTCTCAACACATAGACACAAAGGAAAACTGACATTTAAATTATGTGCTTCAGCAATAACTTTTCACTTTCTATTCAACCATATTCATGGCTCATTTTTGGCCAAGAATAAATAATATTTGCCCTAGATTATTAGGATTTTCCAGGACCATTACTACCAAGCTGGCTTTGAATTTGCTCTCCCCTCTTTGGAGAGAGGTTGATGAATATGGCTCTTAAAGAAGTTAATTCTGCAAGATGAATCCTATATTATCTGTGACAACTTACTAGGGAATTTTTCCTTCTCCTGGATGAAGAATAATATTCCCCTTTTGTTTTTGCTGTTTCATTTTTAAATTTTTCACAGATAAATCCATGCAGAAATGGACATATACAGATCTGTTGAGGCAGAAAGAAGAGAGGTAAAAACCCACTCCCTGTTTCTACCCTTCTGTACATAGTAACAATTTGCCTGATTGAAGGATTTGTGAATGGCTTTTTTTTTTTTTTAATTGAGACAGTTTCCCTCTTGTCACCCAGGCTGGAGTACAATAGCACGAATTTGGCTCACTGCAACCTCCACCTCCCAGGTTCAAGCGATTCTCCTGCCTCAGCCTCCCAAGTAGCTGGGATTACAGGCGTCCACCACCACGTCCAGCTTATTTTTATATTTTTAGTAGAGACAGGGTTTCACCACTTTGGCCAGGCTGGTCTTGAACTCCCGATCTCAAGTGATCCACCCGCCTCAGCCTCCCAAAGTGCTGGGATTACAGGCATGAGCCACTGCGTCTGGCCAAATGGCTCTTTCTTATAAAGGACTTAAGCAAGACTAGAAAACCACTCATATTTAATTTCAATATGCATATTCTGCACAGTATCTGCTGAAATTGGGAAAATGCAATATATTTTTCGAGTTAAGCCTAATGCTTAGGAATGTAACAATTACAAATCACATTCACAAAAGTAGCTCACCTTATTCACCATTTTAAACAACATGTATGTCCACTATAAAAAATGTTTTTAAAAACTCATTGTGATGTTAGCCTATACACAGAGCTGAATTATCAAAAGGAAACCAGACTTTGTTATATCAGAGGTCATTAAAGAGCTTATGGCATACCATAAGTGCTCAATAAATACATTTTCCTCCCCCAAAGCACTCCAGTCTCCGTATGCCGTTTTAGCAACTCCCTGTATGTTGTGTTACTTTACACAGTGCGATCCGTGCTGACTTCCTCCAATCCAGAAATGACTGCATTTCAGTGGTAGAGTTTTATAAACTTCACCATCTTTAGCACTTCTGCACTGTAATTGTACCTTTAAGTTCCAGAGATGATAAATCTCTCATTCGTTACTGAGTAAGAAATGCCACAAATGTATAAAATAATTCTTCATTAAGCTTGGTTTTTCTCCCATGACTCTGGAGAGTAAGTCACTGTAGAAGATTGTTTATTTTATCATCAGAGGCCATTTCATTAACCAGCTGTTCTATTGACAACTGAATCGCATTCTTGACAAGAGAAGAGGCTGTTTCAATTAAGAGTGTTTCATATTGTTCTGAAGTTCTATCCTCAAAACCATTATCATTAGCAAAAACCCCTACTTGCTCACTTTCCGTTGAAATTAAGAATTGCTTAGGGACATTTTTAGATTTCTTAACATCAAATTCACTGATTTCAGTGTCTGTAATAATAATAGCAATTGGCTCCATTCTTTTGCTTTCTTCTGATTTGGATTTCTCTTCAGTGATCCCATTTTCTTTAAAATCTGGTTCTTGGCTCAATTCAGTATCTTTTGGCTTAGTTTCTTCAGCTACAGTTTCTCCACTTTCATAGTCTTTCCCATTTGGTGCACTTTCTAGGATATTGTTACTGGCTTCTTCCACAATTTGTTGATCTGGGATTGCAGGTAAAGGAGTAACATCAGAAAGTACTGGTTGCTCATGGTCTGTTTCTGAAGTTTCAAGTGGGCTTGCTTGCTGGGGTTGAACATCTTGTTTTTCCTTGATTGTTTCAATTTCTTCAAGGATTAGAGTTCCCATTTGAATAGCAGAATGCCCATTATCTAATCCAAGTTCTACGGAAATCACTTTCTCTCCAGAAGTTATGCTATTGCTCACATTTGATTCACAGACCTCATCACCATCTTTCCGTGAGATGCCTTCACTTAGATCCTGGGTTGACGTAGCCTTTGTTGCCTGATCGCTTGATGGGGTCTGTGTTTGTATATCCAAATTTTCAGCCTCTCCCTGGACTTTGATGCTGCAGACTGAGTCTTCTATAATTTTGGAATGATTCCTCCTTTTTGGCCCTCTTTGGAATTTTATGCAGGGAATCTTAAGTCTAGATTTTGCCTTTTTCTTAGAAAGACCAGCATCCTCAGCATTTATTTCAGGTTGCACTTCAGCCTCCAATTGCTTTTGCTGCTTTGAAGACTCCAACCTTTTCCTTCGTGTTACAAGATGTTTGAGTGAGGCCCAGGCCCCCCGTGGGGGCTCTGGCTGATCAGAAGCTCCTGCTTCTTGGGGACACTTCTTTGTTACATCAGCAGCTTCAGAGCCAGCTTTGGGCTTCAATGCTTTAGCTGCTTTCTTTCTTCTCTTGAAGCAAAGCATGGATGTTTTTTCCTCCTGTCTTTCAGCCTGAGGACTACCTTCTGCTGATCTCTTCTCATCCTTGTTTTCTACATGAATTTCTGAAACTGTGGTTGCCATTTTCACACTGTACTCTTATTCTCTAGAGAACTATATTCTCTCTTCCTTAGCCTTTTGTGACAAAAAGATGGGCAAAAATGTCACACTAGGTAAAATTTCTTCCAGGTGTATTCATTCCTTTCATTTTACTCCATGCAGTTGTTTTAGGTGGTTTCTCTAGTATAGAAATGCCTACTTTCTCTATTGCTTGCAATTTCTCTCCTTAAATTTCTTCATGGAAGCCCTTTACTGGATAAATTTTTGCTTTATTTAAAGATCAACCTGGTGAGAGAAAAGAAAGTGATATTTTATTTCACTATGAGGCTTTTCACTATTATTTTCTATGGAGACTTTTTCAGTTGAATGTATAAGATTCTACCAGACATATTTTCCATGTATTTACTAATGAAATGGCTGGAGAATAAAGACTGGGGTTTATTTTGGCCCTATTAAAGAGTTCAATGTAATTCTATTTTGTTTTATCCTCTTTGTTGAAACTTCATTTTGGATTACTCTGCAAGTCTGATATTATCAGTTCTTTAGTTGTGCTGTCTGTATGAATTGCTTATGATTCTAAAGTGCAAGTTAAGCAATCAACAACAAGAACCAAAAATGAAGTACAGGATAAAAAGCAAGCTAATGTAATTTTTATCACACTCAATAAATAACTTAAAACTGCAAAGGACTTTAGAGATTATTTGAGATTACTCAAATCCAGCCAAATGACAAAACTGAGCTCCAAAAGGGAGCAACTGTCTTGTCAAAAGCCATGCGGATAGACAAAGTCATAGCCAGAGTTACAAGTAGAGACTTTGACACTCTAGTTTTTCCATTATAACATAAGGTTTCTGTTCTAAAAATGTATGTTCCATCAAGGAAGTGCTACTTTTCATACATACTCTTAGAAAAATTTAGCATTACTGTCATTCTACACTCTTAAATTAGTTGTATAATTTTGACATTTTGATTTAAGTACTATATCTGCTGTATCATGTTTCCACCATAATATGCACATAGTTGGAGGTCAGTAATAATAGCTGACATTTATTGAGCAATTCTTGGGTATTAGGCAGTGCACACACTTTACATACATTTCTATTCCTCACCACAATATTACCAAGGTGGTACAGATGAAGCAGTTTGGCTGAGATTAAGGCATCGCTGTAACAGAGCTCAGATTAAACACAAGATTACTTGTTGCTTAAAGCTTATGTTCTGAAACTGGGCTTTAAGAGTTTCATTAGAAAATGAATCCTTTGGGGATACTAATCTGCAGTATATTCATAGTAAAGAAATTTAAAAACTGATTAATGGTCATTTAACCACAAGGTACCCATTAATCAACTCATAACTGAACCAAGACCAGACTGAGTTCTTGTTATTTGAAAACCAAGCTTTTGAAATTCTTTATATTTTATTTTTTTGGTTCAGGAAATAATTTAAAAGCCAAAAATAAGTTGACAAACTATGCAATTGGCAAACTGTTAGATAATATAAAAGTGTATTGAAAATTTAATCCACAGAATGGTATGATAGCACTAAAGAATGGAAATGGGAGGTGATTATCTAACAAAGATCCTATGAATTTTAGTGGGTGGATGCCCTAAAATAAGCAAAGGGACTCATTCTTTATACTGTTTACATGTAAATCCTTCACTGAAGTTTCATTTGGGTAACCCATAATTTTATGAGCTGTAGAAGGAACTGGAACCCTGAAAATCAGTTTATGATAAGTAAATATTCCCTTAGGTTGGGTGTTTCATACTTGATGCCTCTACGAGAAAGATAAAGTCATTCTAGAACAATGATAGAACTAAAATATGAACCATTTGACAGTGTTTCTCCTCACATTTATATGCTGCAGTGAGCACTAGAACCTCAGCTGATAACTTTAAATCTTCTCACCTCTTGTGAGTTTTCAGCACCTGAGCATTTTTGTTAAGCAGAGGATGTATTATCACATAATAGAAATATTGAAATGAGATGTTTAGGAGTGTATCATTTAGAAACTAACCTGGATTGTGCAAAGCCAATGGTTTGAGAAGCTTACTTAAATGTATATACACTCTAGAAATAAAATGAATACCCAAACAGAAATTTAATTGAAAGGGGGAAAATAATTCTGTCTGTAGATATTAAAACTTTGCAGAATGTCAGACTGCAAATGATTCCCCTTTAACCAGCAAGGGTATCTTTATCGCCTCAGGAAATCTTAAAGTCCCTGTGCTCATTTCCTGACAGAATTGCAAGTCTCCTGTCACAGAAAACACCCTCCTTCCCTTTCTCCCTTGAGCAGCAAAGAGCAACCACTACCCGAGGAAAGCAATGTATCCTTCCCAGCACCAGATATGGACCACGAAGCTTCCTCCTGGAGGAAGGAATCTCGAATTCTGGCTTGATGCCCCTTATGGCAGGAGACAGCGCGCAGGATAAAGTACTCAAAAAGGAAAATGCTGGGGGCGTGGAACAGATAACCCAGCTTCAAGCTGTCTGTAGAATTATAATGTAATGGCTATAAACCCAAAATCACATTTCCCCAAAGGGATAAAGAAGGAAAAAAGCCACCGGCAACCCTTGCTTCTAAGACCAGCTGTAACGCGAAGGAGATAGGTGGGCAGACCTGATGAGGGTCGCCCTGTCCGCGGATTCCTGCAGACAAGCCACCTCCCGCGATCCCAGCACCTCAGGGTGCCCGGATCCCCAGTGTCCAATGGACACCCCCTGCTCACTCTGCGATCCGCAGACCTGACACTGCCCCCGGCCCTCCTCCCCCGCAGCCTCCCCGCCCTGCCTTCACTCACCGAGGGCGCAGGGGTCCTTGGTCAACACTGCTCCTGAGGTCGCGGCGCGCTCGCGGGGCCCGGCACCCAGGCCTCCAGGGAGCCGCGGTCGCGCACGGAGCAAGGCGCCCTCTGCGGAACCCGCCGCCTAGTGCGCCCCCTCCCCACCGCGCGGGGACAGACAGCCCGCAGCACCAATGCGAGCGGAGCGAGCGGGCAGGGGCGGGGCGTCCGCGGGAGGTGGGGGGCGGTGCGGGCGCCCGGACCCACCTGCAGCAGCAGCCTGCCTGCCGCGGGGAAGTCCACCATGCTCCGCCCGGACGCCAATCCCTGCCGCCTGACCACCTCAGCGCCGAGGCGAGGACGGCGAGAGAGCCAGCCGGAAGGTTGGGGGACCGCGGGGACCAGGGCAACGAACCCCGCGTTTTCTGAGACGCAAAGTAGTGAGGTCGGGTTTCAAATTATAGACGGTCCCATTACACTTCCCCTCTCCTCCGCCTCAGAAAATTTAGACAAGGCAGACATCCCATTTTAAAAGAGGGATTCAAAACTGCATAGAATAGGTGTCCTGTTTGTCTGAAGCGAAAATTACATATATGAATGGAAACGGAAAGAAACCCGACTTTCTGAGGAGTGGCTTGAGTGTTAAGGAGTTCATCGTGGTTCATCACCAAACAGGCTCTCAGACCTTTGTTTCCCAATAGTACGCAGGTGGAGGTGATTCGCGCAGAACTTTGACCTGCAGGAGCAGCTGCATCTCTATGCAGACAAGGTGAGAAAGGCACAAGAACCCAGCTCCATCCATCTTATACTTTACATAGTAACAAAAATAAGTTGAGGTAGCTTACAAGTTACCCATGATTCCCTTTAGGACATTCCTAGCTGCCTACTTGACATCGCCACTGTCAGTGAAGTGGGGTGGTGGGGTGGGGAGGCGGGTGGAGAACAGGAGAGGACATTGCTCACAATTCCAGTCTCAGTCACAGCAAAGGGTGCAGGCACCATCTGCCCACCTGATTGACTAGGTTACGTATCTTCATGCATTTTCGGAGCTTGCCATAGTGAAAAATACCACAAGTATTTATTTGTACACATAAAGCATTAACATGTACTTTATGAAAGGTGATGCTGTTAGAGTTGAAGCTGACTTGCTTTTGGGTTAGTACTCCCTATGAGAGTATTCCTGGGCGATCCAGCCATAAAGTCTAGTAGAATCCCTCACAATCCCAGCTTCCTCGTCTGTCCCCCACAGCATAGCATCCAGATGAACCTAGTAAGGTGGAGTGAAGAACTACTGAAAAGCAGCTGTGCTCATCTCCTTTCTTCAACAGGATCAAGATATTAGGGCATATAAATGTCAGGTGTCCATTTTTGGATGTTTTTCTGGAAATGTTTTATATTTGTAAGATTCTGTAGTTTCCACAGAGGCTTACCAAGGATAGAACTATTGGAACACAAAAGCAAAGGCAAATATAAGCTGTCAAGATCTTAAATTTACAGGTAAAAGAGACAAGAGTTGTAAAGCAGGAAAATCCATAAGCATCAAGTTTAGTTGTAATTAAGAATTCAGGGCTGGGTGCAGTGGCTGACTTTGTGAGGCCAAGGCAGGAGGATGGCTTGAGTCCTAGAGTTTGAGACCAGCCTGGGCAACATAGGGAGATAAAAAAAATTTAAAAATTAGCTAGGCGTGCGTGGTGGCACACCTGTAGTCCTGGTTACTCAGGATGAGATGGGGATCACTTGGGCCCAGGAGGTCAAGGCTGCTGTGAGCTGCTAATGTGCCACTGCACACCAGCCTGAGCAACCAAGTGAGACCCTGTCTCAAAACAAAACAAAACTCAGTCAACCTTGTTCATTCAGCAAACATGTCTATGAAAATGTTCTTCATGTCTCTCTATGGGTTGCTAGCCCTGCTTCTTGCCAGTTTTGAACTTTAAGCCAAAAGAATTCCATGATACTCATGAGAACTATTCCTTATTGAGATCCAAGGTTTCTGAAAACTAGCAGACCTGGGAGTTGCAACAATTTCAGACCAAAAAATAAGATGAGCTTATTTAGGTGCAGACAGGGTAGAATAGCTGTCTTATTTTTATTTGGGACAGGATCTTGCTCTGTTGCCCAGGCTGGAGTGCAAGTGGCACAATCCCTGGCTCAGTCCTCCACAGGCATGTGACTTCATGCCCAGATGCTGCTGCTGCTTTTTTTTTTTTTTTTGGTAGAGACAGGGTCTCCTTATGTTGCCCAGGCTGGTCTTGAACTCCTGGGCTCAAGTGATCTTCCTGCCTCAGACTCCCAAGGTGGTGGGATTACAGGTATAAGCCACCATGCCCAGCCCCTACCAGTATTAAGGATTTAAACCCACAAGGCTTTTGGCAATATAAGAAAACCTAAGTCCTTTAAGATGACCTTTAAGTCACCATATCTGACAAGACTGCATCCTTGCCTTGTCTATAAAATGAATTCCCAGCAAATCCCATTCCAGATAACTTTCACAGGACATTTAAGAAATGTACCAGAAGCAGCCGGGCACAGCAGCTCATGCCTGTAATCCCAGCACTTTGGGAGGCCAAGGTGGGAGGATCACTTGAGGCCAGGGGTTGAAGACCAGCCTGGCCAACACGGTGAAACCCTGTCTCTACTAAAAATACAAAAAATTAGCCAGGCATGGTGGCACGCACCTGTAACCCCAGCTACTCAGGAGGCTGAGGTGGGAGAATTGCTTGAACCCAGAAGGCAGAGGTTGCAGTGAGTGGAGATCACGCCCCAGCCTGGGCAATAGAGCATGACTCTCTCTCAAAAAAAATAAGAAAAGGGAAAAAAAAGTACAGAAGCAATTAACTCTGTGCAAACAGGGCCTGGATGATGCTTTTCAAGAGGAACTGACATTGAGTGGTTACAATGTACCAGGGTCTGTACAGAGCATCTTAGATGATGTGTTTGAATAATTCTAGAACCGCCCTCACAAGGTAGGTACCAACAGTGCTCCTATTTCCATGGTGAGGATGTGGAGGCAGGGAAGTGGGTGAGTAGTTCTACCCTGTGCGGTAGAACTGGGACTCTGCATCATGACCCCTCAGCCATACACCTCTCAAGGCACCACTATCATTTCTGTGGACTGTAAAACTGACTGTATTACAACACTGATGTGAACCCAGAGAATTGAAAATAATAAAACCAAGGTCACTGGGAAAACTACTGCTCTGCCAACATCAGCAGGATTTGGCATTGGCACCAGAGGGATGCAGCATCCTCTGGAAAGTCATTGGAGGAAGATAAGGGGAAAAAGGGAAGGAAACAACTGGGAGAGGAAGAACAGAGATAGAGGATGCAGAGCAAGAGGTGAAGGAAAAATATTTTACTTTTTATTTAACAGAGTCTAGCTCTGTCTCCCAGGCTGGAGTGCAGCAGCATGATCCTGGCTCACTGCAGCCTCTGCCTCCTGGGTTCAAGGAATTCTTGTGCCTCAGCCTCCCAAGTAGTTGGGATTCTAGGTGCCCACCACCACACCCGGCTAATTTTTGTCTTTTTGGTAGAGATAGCGTTTTGTCATTTTGGCCAGACCTCAAGTGATTCACCCACCATTCCCTCCCAAAGTGCTGGGATTTCAGGCATGAGCCACCCCATGCCCAGCCAGAAGTGGAGGAAAAAAATATTAGGTTGGTTACCAAACTAATGTTTTAGAAAAAAGGAAGTCTGGGCCAAGCACAGTGGCTCACGACTGTAATCCCAGCACTTTGGGAAGCTGAGGCAGATGGATCACTTGAGGTCAGGAGTTCGAGACAAGCCTGGCCAACATGGTGAAACCCCATCTTTACTAAAAATCCAAAATTAGCTGGATGTGGTGGCGCATGCCTGTAATCCCAGCTACTTGGGAGGCTGAAGCAGGAGAATCACTTGAACCCAGAAGACAGAAGTTGCAGTGAGCCAAGATCGTGCCACTGCACTCCAGCCTGAGCGACAGAGGCTCTGTCGCCAAAAAAGAAGAAAAGAAAAGAAAGTAAGTCTGTAGAGAAGGGTAGAGCCCAGGCATTTAGAAGAAACTCACTGAATACTTGCTGCGCCAAGTAACAGAACAGAGGCTTACCTAAAGTTAGTGCTGTATGACCACCCTTCCTAAAGTAACATAGAAAGTGCTAAAGCTGTGACAGAAATGGGAATTCCAAGGAAGTTCAGGCAAAAATTGGTGTAAGCAGTACTTCCTCAGAGTGGAAAAACAAAATCAAACAATATAGAAATGTATAAGATAAAAAGGTAAGTCATCAACTTCCAATCCAAACCTCTCAGGAGGTTCCTTAATTATGTGTCCTCTCAGAAATACACAAGCATGCATACGTTTTCCCCTCTAAATACAAGAGTATCATAAAGTGCACACTGCAACTTGCATCTTCAGCCCCAGGGGTCTGCCTGACAAATGAGCTCACACATGACAGAGACCTGTAGCACAGTCTGTTAAGGCTGTAATTCATATTGCAACACCAAGATGGCAAAATTATTTCCTTTTATTCTGTGGAACTTCACTAACGTAAAGAGGCATGTGCATGATTTATGTTAATTTACACATTATGACAATTAAGGCTGAAAAGGACTTCCAGGGAAACGCCTACTATTAACTTCGGATCTTCTGGGCAGGGGCTGACTTCTCTTGGCTTCCTTATACTTCCTAACTCCCAGTGGCCCTGAATAGACACTGGCCAGTCTTTCAAAGTAGCTTCTTGAAGATGAATGATGATCTGGAAGGAAAAACAAACAAGAAATCAATGTTTTCTCTAAGCACTAAATGTTTCCTGTTCCTTCCATACAGCACAATTACCCACTCACATTGCCGAAGCTGTTAACATTGACATCCTTTCCTACACCATCTCTTCTAGGGTCTGTCCATAAATGGACCTGAAAATAATGCATAGCATTTCCATGGTACAATGTGAACACTGTTCAAGACCAGACCAAGCAGTGAGCCGTGACTGCATTTCCAATATCACACATGCCCCCTCAAAGATTAGTGTTCTAGCATCAAATTACCGTTTTGCTTCTACTTGGACCTTACCTTTCTCAAGTAATGCAAGAGCTTTTATTTTGTACTATTACCCTTTGATAGCCTTATCTTTTCTAACATTTTCAGTTTTGCTCAGGTGTTCCCCCAACCTGTCCCACACTGGATTTGTAACTAGATCATTTGCATGGTTGTCAGAATGCCTCTTCACTAATGTCCAAATCAGGGTTGTTTCCCAAAACTCCTATCTTCTTTTTTCTTGGTTAATTCCTCATTTTGCTAAGTATATTGCTAAATAACTTCTTAGGAAGAGATGGGGGATGGTAAACCTTTGCATGTCTGAAAACATGCAGATAGATTTGGCGAGGTGTAAACACATGTGGAAAGTCATCTTCCTTGTGACCTTAGAGGATATTCCTCCACTGTGTAAAGCTTCTTGTTGCCGATAAGACAGGTGTTCCATCCAGTTCTCAGTTTTTGAATAGGCAAGCCACTTTTTTCTTCTCTGGAGAAAGATGTTTAGGATTTTCATGTTTGATATTTTTGAAAATTGCAGGAGGATGTGTCTAGGGATAGAAGCGCACACTGCAACTTGCTTCTTCAGCCCCAAAGGGTCTGCCGAAGGAGAGACACATCTTGTTGAAATTTCAAAAATATCTAACAATGCAATGTCACTCATTGCAGTCAGAACTAAGGGCCCTTTCACCTAAGGCCCTAAGAACTGCTGGATTGGTCCTGTTTTCTTTTCTTTCCAGTTATACTTCTAAGACACTGACTAACTCCTGCCTTCTGACTACCTAATCAGAGTATACAGACCGTCAGCTGTTCCTGACC